ATTTGGCGCAGTTAACTTCAACAAATTATTTGAATGCCTTCCCGATCGAATTTTAAGCTGATCGGGAAGGCAATCAAATAATTTGTTGAAGTTAACTGCGTTTTTCTATGTATAATTTGGCGCAGTTAACATCAACAAATTATTTGACTGCCTTCCTGATCAAATTTTAAGCTGAAATTTGGTATGGATAAACTAGACTTGATGAGGAAAATGCTCAAAAAAATTCATCAAAAACATTCACTGGGAACCGCCCCAAACGGCAGTGTCCGAACGGCATTCAGACGGAAAGCTGCTGGACATATTTCTCTTATTTTGTAAAACAAAATATTTTAATATGTTCCAAAAACAAGTGTAGCTAATGGTAGCCATGGTAGCAGTGCAAGGAGAAATACCCGAATGCCATCCACTTCCTAATCTCAAGGATAATGTCACATTCTAATCAGAGAGTGAACTATCCATAAATGTGAGAAAACACATTACTTCTCGATTGGGGTGACATTTTAACATCTAGACCCCAGTTATGAAATTATTTGATTTTTCAATTTGTAATGTTTTCTATAATTTCCTTATTGGGTCTTTTCTTTTGTTGTATCATTTGATATTTAATAATTGAAAGTGTGAATTGTACACCTACTCACATATACCGCAATTTTATGGTGAATTATTGCACATTGCAGGTATATAGTAAGTATATATAATGAAGTTCCAACTAATATTTGTCTAAAGTTTATAAGAATCTTTTTTATATAAATAGTACAAGCAACAAGCGGCCGAGTTTCGTGCTTAAAGTAGTACATACATGTCCCCAAAATCCATGAATGTAAAAACGAATTTTCTCAACTTTTATCCTATTCATCACCCTTTGTTTTGTAAAACAAATACTTTAATATATTCCAAAACGGACTATTTTCACCGCAAGTTCCCGTGTGTTAAAACATTACATCTATATAAAGATCGATGTTCCGTGGAAATTATCAAACATCGAAATCCGCAAAAAATTGCTCTTTGTTTATATTATGAAAAGTGTTTCTATTCTAAGGCACAAGATTGTTTCTAATTTTTATAAATCTGGAATCTTTATATTTTGTCCAAAATTTATAAATATAATTCCCCCTGGGATACTATGCTTGTTTATGATCTTTCATGTCTACATTCTACGTGGAGCTAGAAACATTTAACGGCGGGTCTATAGAAGTGGTGCTAGCGGCCGTGGTAGCGGTGCAGGGAGAAATACCCGAGCGCCAACCACTTCCTGATTTGAAGAATAATGTGAAGAAAGTCATGTTTTATTGTTAACTTTCTTGCTTCGATTAAGTTTTGTATGTGGAATAAAAAGTCTATATAAATATGTGTTTATATATCTATAATTTTGAATATGTACATAGGTTACATCCACGACCAAGCTACCCCATAAATACGAACAAGTTATGTGGGCTATTGGAGTCAGCGACGCAATCTCTAAATATACTATTTTGTAATTTGTAAAACAAAATATTTTAATATGTTCCAAAAACAACTAGAGCTATTGCTAGCCGTGGTAGTGGTTTAGGGAGAAACACCCGAACGCCAGCCACTTCCAAATCTCAAGGATGATGTCAAATTCTAACCAGAGTTCGGACTCTCCATAAATGTGAGAAACACATTACTTTTAGATTGTGGTGACATTTTAACGTCTGGACTTCAGTTATGAAATTATATGAATTTTCAATTTCTAACTTTTTCTATAATTTCCTCATTGGGTCTTTTCTTATGTTTTATCATTGCTATATAACGCGTGAAAGTTCGAATATATTGTACATCTACTCACTTATATTGCAATTTTATGGTGAATTACTCACATTGCAAGTATATTATAAGTATATATAATGGAGTTCCTAACTAATATTTGTCAAACATTTATAAGAACCATTTTTAAATAAATAGTACGTGCAACCAGCGGTCGAGTTTCGTGCTTAGAGAGTAGTACATACATGTCCCTGAAATCAGTGAATGTAAAAAAGTATTTTCTCAACTTTTATCCTATTCATCACCCTCCGTTTTGTAAAATAAATACTTTAATATTTTCCAAAAGGGACTATTTTCATTGCAAGTCCCCGTGTGTTAAGACATTACGTTTATATTAAGATGTTCCGTGGAAACTATCAAACCTCAAAACCTGCACAAAATTGCTCTTTGTTTAGATTATAAAAAGAGTTTCTATTTTAATGCACAAGATTCATTCTAATTTTTATAAATTTGGTATCATTATATTTTGCCCAAAATCTATAATATCATTCCCCTGAGATGCTATGCTTGTCTATGATCTTTCACGACTAGATTCTACGTGGAGCTAGAAACATCTAACGGCGGGGCGGGTCTATAACAAATGATGCTAGCCGTGGTCGCGGTGCAGGGAGAAATAACCGAACGCCAGCCACTTCCTTAAATAAATAGTATGTTCAAGTGTGCAACAAGCAGTCGAGTTTCATGCTTAGAGTAGTACATACATGTCCCCAAAATCAATGAAATAATTTTCTTAACTTTTATCCTATTCATCACCATTTGTTTTGAAAAACAAATACTTTTATATTTTCCAATAAGTACTATTTTCATTGCAACTTTTATCCTAGTGCACTTCCTAACTAATATTTGTCTAACATTCATAAGATCCATTTTTGAATAAATAGTAAGTGCAACAAGCGGTTGGGTTTCGTGCTTGGAGTAGTACATACATGTTCCCATAATTAATGAATGTAAAAAAGAATGTTCTCAACTTTTATCCTATTCATCACCCTTTGTGTTGTAAAACAAATCTAAAAACATTATAATTGTGAGTGTTGGTTAGTATCCTTGAATTGTGTCAATATTTTCAATGCATGAGAGCTTGTACTTTGATTTTAAAATATGATACCCTAATCTTGATTGACAAACAAGCACGGCTACCATTAGAATTAATTGAAGGTTGCCTTCATTATAAGTTAATCCTTCAATATAACTTAGAGTCAATTACCTGAATATGACTAAAAAGTGGCAAAATTGCACAAATAGAACTATATTTTTTAAATTCCCCTTATAGGACTATTTATGTGTGTTTGGACAAACATGTTTTTAGTAAATTGTACATAACCCTGTAGCTTTTGATATTATTTAATTATAATAAAATTATAAAAAAATAATAATAATCGTAAAATAATAATAAAAAATTAATAAAAAAATTGTAAAATAAACTTTTAATTTTTTTAAAATAATAATAAAAAATTTTAAAAAATAAAAAATGAAAAAAAAAGATTGCCGCCTCTGCCACCCCCAGCACCATTAGCTCCCATCACCGGAGGAAAAATCTGCCAACATATTTAGAAATGCCATAATGATGATAAATTCAATAAAAATGTTGGCATAATGAAGAGTAATAATGCCATTTTCTTGGCATTTCCAGAAAAAAATGGCACTTGTTTTACAAAAGTGACATAATTTTCATCGATCGTAGATGGTGGTGTTGGGAGGCAGTGGGAAAGGTATCTATTTAAAAAAAACATTTTATAAATATTTTATTAATTTTTCTTTACGAATTTTTTATTATTTTTTACGATTTTTTATTATTTTGTATGATTTTATTATGAATTGAGACATTTTATTATGAATTATACCCTTAGGGGTATATAGTGTAGAAAATTAATGTTTAGTCCTATTTGGAAAATTTAAAAGTAGTAATCCTATTTGTGCTTTTTATAGACTCATTAGTCCTAATTAGGTAAATAACTATATAACTTACTACACATTCATACTTGCAATTAGTGTTTCTATTTTTAATGACATTTGGTCTTTTAAGTATTTATGAAGTAGTACTCTTTAAATGATTTAGATTTTTTAAATTTGATAAATAGCTAAAAATTAGTGTTATACTTAATAAAATTTAGTGAATTATTCAAATAGTTTATACTTAAATATTGTTAGCTCAACCTTCATAGGAATTGTATTAATTGCAAAACACACACTTTATTAGTTTAGAAGATTAAGGATTTTTCTGGTAATATCCAAAATGAACTGATGCTGATGAGTTTTTTGTCTCTAATAATTGAATTTTCCAGAATTACTGAATTATGAAGAGATTATGTTAAAGTATGTTTTATTACTAACTATATTAAAAGTTTGTTTTCAAATAATGATTGTCCAAGTTGATTGACAAAAATACAAAAATAAGCTATTGAATTGAAGTACAAAAAAGATTCATATACTATAAAAAAGTAAAATTCCAAAAAAATGAAAACCTAAATTTGTCATCTTTATTGATAATACTAATACTAATATGCTAAACAATAGGCTTACAAAATGGTCACAAAAAATTAAAAGAAGATTCACAAGAAGCAACATGTACAAGTTTTAACTTGTATTAAATCTAGTCCCACCCTCATGTTATTATAGTCAATTTAGCTATTTTATTATAAATTTATGGTATGATAAAAAAAAATATAAATTTATGGTAGATATGGATTAGCAACAACCTTAATTAATTAGTTCAAATACCATTGTCAATGCAAGATGTTTATTTTGTGACTAAAAACTACATATACGGAGTATACCGTAATAGTGATTATTTGATTGGAATATCAATATATTTTGATTTGGTGACACATGCTTCAAATTCTATTGAACTTGATAGATTAAATGTGAAATGATGTTGAAATGTTCTTTGCTAAAAGTGCTACCATAAAGTATAAATTTATTATGTTTCACATAAATATATTAGTTGAAATAACGTATCAAAGTTTATCATTTTTTACTGAAAAAGTCAAAATCGGCTAAATAAAAAGGGACAGAGGTAGTAATAAAGTTATCAACGAATTGGGACCAATTTCTTTTGTTTCGTACTTTTCATTGTTTTGATAGGGGGGAGGGTATCGTTTTATTTATTACTAGTGTTACTTGAGAAAACATGTATGAATGAGATGGCCATATAGTATTTGGATTTTCACGAGTCATGACTGCAAAATATCACCAACTCACAAAGTACAAGAACACCATTTTGAAATAAAGTCAATCACAAAACTATTGTTTTGTTACTCAAAAATAAAGTTGGTTTCATACACCTATCAACTCGCCCCGATGGCAACTATGGCTGCTTCTGCTATCGGCCATCCTACCTCTGCTCTGCAAGTCATTTTCTTTTTAAATTTACATAATTTTCAAATTTCATAAACATGGAATGTAGGTATGTTCGTGATGTTACTCAATGGATAGTCAAAATTAGAGCTATGTACTCAATTTCATGGTTTCTAACACTAATAGTAGCTAGACAGTTAGTAGATGATGGTAGATGATGATTCCCCTTCACTTTGATTTGCAAAGAGAGGGAAAATACAACTAACCCATACTCAGATAGAAGCTAAGATATCTTCGTACGTGCACAAAATTATAGCTATAGAGCATGAAAAAACGATCCATCTCGGAGAGCAGTGTCATGTTTCCCTACACTGGCTCTTTTCCTTCTCCACATTCAACGCAAGCACATAAAGCCTTCCAAATCGGCACCAAAATTTTTGCAGAAGGACGTAACACCTATCAATTGAATTTAAAAACCCCTGTAAAATTATTATGGGTAACCTGTTGTAAGAATAAGGGTGTAGTGCCTGTTTGGTATTGGGACTTTTTCGGCTTATAACAGATTTTATGGAACACTAAAAGTACACACTCTGTCCCCAAAAGGAAAGAGTACCAGACATGTTTTTATCCCCAAAAACTTGTCATATCAAGCAACAAAAAAGAGATAATTTGCATTATACTTTATGCAACCCCACCCCCCATGCTTGAAACAAGTTAAATACGGAGTATGTTAAATTTAGTTTTCCTTCAAAAGAGATGTTACATTGAGTTGAAGAGAGATAAAATGTTTTAAAAAAGGTCCTTCTACTATTTCAAATTCATCAGTTAAGCCTGCATACTAAAAAATAAGTCATATAATAAGCTTACTTGGAAAACAATCAATCCTATCGTTTCACGATTTATCGATTCCCTTAATTTTTTTCAAAAGGTGACCTGCTATGGGAGGTCAATAACTAGTAGAATGAATGGATTGATTATTTTTCAAAGTAAATGTGCTTATGCAATACTACACATTTCTTTAGAAGCACTTTACTATAGAAGCATAAGTGATGGCATTGAAATTGTAGAATGGTCTAGTGGACCTTTTCCCAAAAATTGGTGACTCATAGTTAACAAGGGATGTTCCTTAACCAAAATTAAAAGGTCTAACTTCGACAAAGGAGCTCTTTTTGTAGAGAGGGAGTAATACAAAAGTTAATTTTTTTCACTGAACAGTTAGAAAGAAGAAAGAAGATATGCGATCGAGGTATGCCGACTAAATTGAAAGGTAAATTTTATCTTACAGCAATTAGGCCGGCATTAATGTATGGCGTAGAGTGTTGGGCGGTGAAGCAATGCCACATTCAAAAGATGAGTGTGACAGAGATGCGTATGTTGCGTTGGATGTGTGGACATACCAGAAAAGACCGCCTGAGGAATGAGGTAATCAGACAAAAGGTGGAGTAGCACCTATAGAAGATAAGATGCAGGAGTCTCGTTTGCGGTGGTTTGGGCGTGTGCATAGAAGACCGAGTGATGCACCTGTTAGACGACTTGAGGGGTGGGGAGAAGAGTCAGAGAAGAGAGGGAGGGGAAGACCCAAACAGACTTGGATTAGAGTAATCAGAACTGATATGCGTCTTCTTGGGTTGGATGAGAGTATGGCTTTGGAGAGAGCAAAGTGGAGGGCGCACATCCATGTGGACGATTGATGTCTTGTCTACCTTTCCTCTCTTGTTTCTTTTATCGTTTATCTTCCTTATCTTTTTATATTCTTATGTTATTTTTATCTTCTAGCTTTTTTATGTTCTTTTATTTATTTTTCTTTTATCTTGGTTATATTCTTGTGTTATTATTATCTTATATTTATGTATCTTTATTTTATTCATTTTATCTTACTTTTTTTCCTTTTCTTGTCCGCCTTCTCTTTTTGGCATCGATATCATAGATCGATTCATGTTAGCCGACCCCAAATTCTTTTGGGATTAAGGCTTGGATGTTGTTGTTGTTGTTGTAACAGTTAGAAAGAAGATACTTGACCGTTATCAGCGACATCAGTCCAACTTCGCTCTTACCAAACAGACTCTAATTTGCTACAATAGAGGATGAGAAATGTTTAACCTTGAAAACTAAAAGAAGATCATCTTCTCCGTGAATAATCAGAGAGAGGGTCCAGTAACAAGTAATGGGGGTCACACATTCATTCAGCACAGGTTTCAAGATCTTGCAAGTAGGAACAAAACGTCGAACGATTCTCCCGCTGTTGTAGAAGTACAAAATGAGCAATTTGGTATGAACCCATAATACCTCAACACAAAAAAGAGGTGGGGGTGGGTCTTGTGTATGGCAGAGCCTTTAAGTACCTTTGGTATTGAGTCTCCATCTGAACTCCAAAAGCAGGGAAAATTATTACAGACTCTGTTACGCACAAACCAAAAAAGTGAGTGACAGAACATGAGAAGAAAAGTACTCCTCCCATTAAAAGAAAGAGTCAGTTTCATCATGGTACAAATTTTTATTCCATACATAAAAATATGGCAACCAAAGTAGTTAAATGAGATATGGGATCTTAAGGGGAACATCAAAGCAATAAATCCTTGACCAAGAAATCATGTATTCGTTGAATGTTGCTATTTTCTCCTAAAGTGAAACACCCCTTGATGTGGAAAACATCCAAGAGCTGTGCATTAAATGCACATTCAATACATTACCATTGGATTTCCTTATGTCAAGAGATATCCAATTCTTGGGCAATAAAATAACAATTTGCTATTACGCTTTATAACTATACACATACTATAGCTTTTCTATAATTTTAAGTAAATTTAGTTCTTATAATTTAGTAGTAGTAGTTGCATTGGTTACTTTAACTAAACTCTCATTTTTAATTTGTTCTGAACCCCTTTTGGTAATGAATTACAAGAAAAATAACTTTGCTTTGAAACATATGCTCTTTTCTTGAAGATCATTCTCAACCCAAAAAACGGAGATTGTAATCAAAGACTTGTCTCCTCACCTCTGACAACTAGCTTTAGATAAATCCAGATGAGTGATGCCACAATAAGTAGGCTGTAAAGAAGAGCAGCACTAGACCTGACCTGCTATCGCGCGCACATCATCACTCTGTAATCATGACGCTTTACTAAATTGAAGCAAAGGAGGTGAAATACCTAAAGATCTAATCTACAGCTTTAAGAAGCCTATGTATCATAGTTATGAACAATCACAGAAACACAAATTTCATATGGCACAATAGTGCTCCCTTCGGTAACCAATATGGTTTACTCTGCTTTCAGAGACCACATCAGATTCATCCACTTTAGCAGAATAATCTTTAACAGGCCCTGAATACTTAATATGGATATACTAGTTAAATACATTATACCAGCACAATTAATTATGAACCACCTAATCTCAAATGATCATCAAATAGGAACAGTAAATCCTTGGATATTAAGTGAGTAATGAGTATATACCAGTACAAGCAGAGAGCAGATGTAGGCTGAGATGAAGAGAAATGTGAGTAAAATTGAAGCATTGGGTAAAGCATTTCTTGGAAGCATGACATGGTGGACATCTAAGGCTTCAGTGGGCCCTTTACCAACATCGTGTACATAATTGTATCTCCCAATCGTAATACTGCTACTCCTTCCTCCTTCCATTTTCTCTCTGCAAATTGACAAAGGTTAGGGTTTTTTAAACATTGACTACTCCAAAGCAGTGTTTGGTGCTTTCTATGAACTTTTAAGCTTCAACCTTTGAGTCAACTTGTAAGAAATGCATTGGGCGCTTGTGTAGAAAATTTTACACCTTTATCTATTTATCTCTGTGATAGCGTTTCCCTCATTTGCAATGCAGCAAAAGATTCACTATTTTTTGGCTTGAGAATATGATGGAATAAAGCAAACGGCTCACTAAATTGTTTGTGCTTCTTTGTTATAAAACAACATCAGGAAACAGTCTTTCTGTGCTTTAGTACAGGGGTAAGACACTAACCCCCCTTACCCCACCGCAGGTGGGAGCTTTCACGGCACTGGGGTAAAGGATGATGATGATCTCTGTGTTAGCGAGATTGATCTTCCCTGCAATGTAGATAGTGACAGATCTTATACTTCCCGTTCGCGCGAATTTCATACTATGGTGAAATTAATTGAATCACACCAAAACTAATAGTGTGCAATTAATTTACTCTCACCGATTAATCCCACTCGTGTGAGCAGCTACCTGTACTTACATTAAAAGTACTCTTGTTGACTAATAATTTCATACCGATTACAAAAGAACTATCCGCAACAAATCCTTGCTACTAACACGGAAAAATTAAGCAAACAGCAATCCAACATCCCCATTCAGTCATTTATAAAAAATGGAGATTAGGTTAAAGAATGGTGTAAAATTCAATCAAGATTTCAGATTAGGTTTTAAAAGCCCTAATTTTAAGGTTAAAATCTTAAGGGAGGTAATTAGATAGATGAGCTGAAAATTTTAGCATTCAGACACCTACCCCAATTCGTCAGCTGGGAGTCTCAAGATAAAGGAGAAGACGATGACAGAGGACTCAGTTGGCTTGTGCTGGAGCTAGGTCGCAAGGACTGAGGAGCCGACTCAGCCGAGGTCCCAACATCCAACGAGCGTGTGGCTGCGCTGCAACGGTTCCAAATTTCCAACGGTGACGGGTGAGGTCGCGAGGAGCGGAGCCGGAGAAGCGAGCGGCTTGGGCAGGGCAGGTCCTGTCAGTGTAAGGGCAGAAATTGCGTTTGAGTTTCGTTATCACAAGCGGGTCACCCGTTAAAAACGTCTGAAAAAGACCGTTAAAAGTAACTCCGGTTTCCAAAAGTGCCCGAAAAATTAAAAGAAAAATACCGAAAGATGCGTCTCGTCATGATGACCTCCAAACCACCTTCGCCTTTGGATTTTCAGATCTGTTTGAATTATTTTTTAAAAATGATTTCGCTAATATCACTTTTCCTATGAACTTTCCGGTGACAAGGGTGACTGAAAACAAAAAAAAAAGATGGCCTAGCGGTCGTCTTATTGAGGCGCACCTTCCGGTATTTTTCTTTTAATTTTTCAGAAACTTTTGAAAATCGGAGTTACTTTTAACGGTCTTTTTCAGACGTTTTTAATGACGTGACCCTCTTGTGATAACGGAATTCAAACATATGAACCACTTTGATAAAGAATGAAACACATGACCCTATCTAAAAACGGGTTCAACCACAAGTACCTTTTCCGTACTTTTCCCTATCTTTTACTCTCTCCGGTCCTAAATAAATTTCACATTGTCCTTTTTGGGTAGGTCCAAAATAAACTTCACACTTCTTCTCCCTTCATTATTTGGCAAATTATCTACATCAAAACAGTGCAAAACATTGTCAAACAGTGCTAAACAGTGTACTCTACAGTAAAGTCAATTTTATTTCCTTAATTTGTGTGAAGTCAAAGTGAAGTTTATTTAGAACCGGATGAGTATTACATTACCGGGTGTGTATTTTGTTAGTAAATGTAAGTTTTAGGAATAAAACTTCCTTGATTGAATGAGCCATTCGGCCAGAGTATAAATACAGTTTGTACAGATAACTACAAGCTGGTACAGATCCTGAAAAATTAGGATCTAGATAACTATGAGCTTATCTACAACTAACTAAGTCTATCCGACTCACTATGTACATCAATCTAATCAGGAAAAATAATGTAACATTTTTCTAATAATGTACTCCCTCCGTCCCCATGTTATTGTCCCATTTCCTATTCACTTGGTCAACACAAATCACTCTTAATCTCTTACTTTATGTATCAAATTTTTATCAAATTTGCTTCTGGTTTTTGCGACTTTGTAAATCTTTTAATGTAGTTTCTGAATATGTAATTTTCTTTTTCTAAAAATAATTTGAGTGCGGACAGGGATCTGTTTGCTTTATCGTCTGTCAAGCATCGTAAACCGCAATGAGACAATAACAGGGGGACGGAGGGAGTAACATTTTTCTACACTCCCCTTCAAGTTGGTGAATATATATCATACATTCCCAACTTGCTTATAAGTAGCTCAAATATAGGTCTAAATAACTCTTTGGTGAAGATATCAGCTGTTTGATCTTTAGTGGATACAAATGGTGTGCAAATGATTCCAGCTTCAATCTTCTCCTTAATGAAATGTCTGTCCACTTCAATATGCTTAGTTCTATCATGTAGCACAGGGTTATGAACAATGCTTATAGCAGCTTTATTATCACAATATAACTTCATAGGCAGCTCAATCTCCATCTTTAGTTCTGTGATTACTCGTTTGATCCAGAGTAACTCACATATTCCATTAGCCATAGCTCTGAATTCTGATTCTGCACTACTTCTAGCAACCACATTTTGTTTCTTACTTCTCCAGGTTACTAGATTTCCCCATACATAGGTGCAGTATCCAAAAGTAGATCTCCTATCAGATATTGAGCCAGCATAATCTGCATCAGTAAAAGCTTCAATTGTCCTATTGTTTCCCTTTTTGAAAAATAATCCTTTCCCTGGACAGCTCTTCAGGTATCTCAAAATCCTGTAAGTAGCATCAAGATGTTCTTGGAGAGGATGATGCATAAACTGACTCACCATGCTTACTGCAAATGCAATATCTAGTCTTGTGTGTGCCAGATATATTAATTTTCCTACCAATCTTTGATATTGGTGAATATCAACTGGATTTCCCTCCTTGATCTCCCAATTTCTGACTTGGGTCAATTGGAGTGTCTGCTGGTTTGCAAGCACTCATTCCAGTTTCCTGTAGAAGATCTAGAACATATTTCCTTTGTGAGACAACAATACCCTTCTTTGATCTAGCTATCTCAATTCCTAGGAAAAATTTTAAATTTCCTAGGTTTTTAATCTCAAATTCATGAGCAAGTTTGTCTTTCAATCTTTTAGTCTCTGTGTGATAATTTCCTGTGAGGATAATATCATCTACATAGACAATTAAGATTGCAATCTCCCCCTTACCTGAAAACTTCATGAATAAAGTATGGTCAGCTTGAGCTTGATTAAATCCTTGCTTCTTTATGAACTTTGTGAATCTGTCAAACCAGACTCTTGGAGACTGTTTAAGTCCATATAAAGCCTTCTCTAATCTGCAAACTATTAACCCAAACTTATTTTCAAACCCAGGAGGAGGTTCCATGTACACTTCTTCTTCAAGTTTCCCATTTAAAAAAGCATTCTTTACATCCAGTTGTTGTAATGGTCAGTCTAAATTGGCAGCAAGAGATAAAAGAATTCTTACAGTGTTCAACTTTGCAACTGATGCAAAAGTTTCTTTGTAATCAATTCCATAGGTCTGTGTGTACCCCTTGGCAACTAGTCTTGCCTTATACTTCTCCAAACTTCCATCTTCCTTAAACTTGGGGGTGAAAATCCACCTGCAACCAACTGTAGGTTTATTTTTAGGTAACTCTACAAGCTTCCATGTCTGATTCTTTTCAAGGGCCTCCATCTCCTCCAAAACAGCTTTCTTCCACTCAGGTTTAGATAGAGCATCCTGTATGGTTGGAGGAATAGAAATAGAAGAGATATTGGAGGTAAAGGCTGCAAAGTCTGAGGTCAATTTAGAATAAGAAACATAGTTTGAGATGGAGTATTTAACACATGTTCTTCTCTCTTTTCTGAGAGCAATAGGAAGGTCAAAGTTGCTGGAAGTATTACCTTTTTCACTTCCTGACATTAAAGCAGAATCATGGACAATTGTAGGTTCTTGGACTTCCTCTGTTCTTTGATTTCTAACCCTTCTCTCATAAGTTTTTCCAAAGAACTGACTTGTCTGTTGATCCTTTTCAATTGGTTGAGTTGGATTTACTTCATTATTTTTTATTCCTGGATCATTTTCAGGTATACTGATATTTCTAAAGAAATTATCATCCAGATTAGAAAAATGTTACATTATTTTTCCTGATTAGATTGATGTACATAGTGAGTCGGATAGACTTAGTTAGTTGTAGATAAGCTCATAGTTATCTAGATCCTAATTTTTAGGATCTGTACCAACTTGTAGTTATCTGTACAAACTGTATTTATACTCTGGCCGAATGGCTCATTCAATCAAGGAAGTTTTATTCCTAAAACTTACATGGTATCAGAGCAGGCTGTTTAAACACCACAATGGTGGAAACCGAGCAATCTGACTCTTCTCCCCACTCACAAACCCATAACCCTAACTCCCCAAATAGCTCAATGACAAACTACCAGACCTCAGTTCATTCATCTATGCTCATTACTGGCCATAGATTCAATGGCACAAATTATCTCGAATGGTCACAGTCTGTCAAGCTGGCTATTGATGGAAGGGGCAAGCTAGGGTACATAACTGGTGAAATAAATGAGAAAAAACTGGTGATGATGGCTACAATGTCTGGAGGTCAGAAAATTCCTCGGTGACAGCAAGGCTTCTAAGTTCAATGGATGTATCAATTGTCAAACCTCACATGTTCATGAAAACTACAAAGGAGGTATGGAATTCCATTAAGGAAACTTACTCAGATATTGAGAACTCTTCTCAGATTTTTAAATTAAAAACCAAGTTGTGGCAGTCCAAACAAGGCAATAGAGATATCATCTCTTACTATAATGAGATGGTATCCCTATGACAAGAGTTGGATCAGTGCCATGATGATGAGAAGTGGGAGAGTGCCAAGGATCTAGCAAGACACCAAAAAAGGGAGGAAAATGATAGGGTCTACATGTTCCTAGCAGGAATTAATAGAGATCTAGATGAAGTTAAGGGGAGGATACTTGGAAAAAAAAACTCTACCCTCTATCAGGGAGGTATTTTCTGAAATCAGGATGGAGGATAGCAAGAAGAAGGTTATGTACAGCATTCCAGTACATAATGAGGAATCTGGGGACTCTTCAGCAATGGTGGCTAGGAGTGATGACAAGAAAAAACCCTGGTGTGATCATTGCAAGAAATTATGGCACACTAGGGAGACTTGTTGGAAAATTCATGGCAAACCACCAGGGGCAGGAAAGAAAAAAACTGAGAAGGCCCTACAAACAACTGTGACTGAGACTCAACAAGAACTACAAGTCAAGTTCAATCAGCTTTCATTCACTCAGGAGCAGATAGGGCAAATTCTTAACTTCCTTAATTCCCAGAAAACCCAAAATTCCCAAAAAGAATCCAAACCAGAATCTTCCTCTTGTTCTTATGCCCAAAATGGTACCTATTCATCATTTTTTTGTTCTTAGAAATCTAAAAATACCTGGATTATTGACTCAGGGGCTACTGATCACATGACTTCTATTTCAAATCTTTTTTCTTCATATAAACCTAGTGCAGGGGATAAAAAGGTTAAGGTTGCAGGTGGTTCTCTATCAGCCATTGCAGGGATGGGAAATATTAGTATTTCCTCATCACTGAATCTATCCAAAGTCCTTCATGTCCCTAATCTATCCTGCAATCTTACTTCAGTTAGTCAAATAACTAAAGATCTACAATGTTGTGTCATTTTTTATCCTTCTTATTGCATTTTTCAGGACCTGGCATCGGGGAAGATGATTGGCAGTGCTAAGGAGGAGGATGGACTCTATATCTTTGATGGAGAAACTCAATCTAATAAAAGAGGTCCAAGAAATGCTTGTTTGCAAACTGTTTCTTTTTCAAATAATAAAGATTTGTATTTACTTCATTATAGACTAGGACATCCTAGTTTCTATTATTTAAAAAAGATGTTTCCTCAATTATTTCTGAATAAAGATGCTTCTTTGTTTAATTGTGATATGTGTGCATTTGCAAAACATCACAGAAACACTTATTAACCCCACAGTTATAAACCTACTAGTCCTTTTACCTTGGTACATACTGACATTTGGGGTCCATCTAGAATACCAACTTTAAAGGGAAAGAGATGGTTTGTAACTATTATTGATGATCATACTCGTGTCACATGAGTATTTTTAATCAAAGAAAAATATGAAGTTGAGAAAATATTTAGAACATTTTATGCTATGGTCCAAACTCAATTCAATACCAAAATTAAAATGGTAAGAAGTGATAATGGTCGTGAATATTTTTCTCAAACTTTAAACAACTTTTTTACTGAAAAAGACATTATTCATCAAAGCTCTTGTGTCAATACACCAGCTCAAAATGGAATTGCAGAAAGGAAAAATAGACATTTGCTTTGATACCATGTAAGTTTTAGGAATAAAACTTCCTTGATTGAATGAGCCATTCGGCCAGAGTATAAATACAGTTTGTACAGATAACTACAAGCTGGTACAGATCCTAAAAATTAGGATCTAGATAACTATGAGCTTATCTACAACTAACTAAGTCTATCCGACTCACTATGTACATCAATCTAATCAGGAAAAATAATGTAACATTTTTCTAATAATGTAACATTTTTCTACAGTAAATCTTATCATATGTGATATATGCATTACTTTCTGCCCTATATTATTGGTTACTTATTCTTTACAAAAACATATTATTTTATTTTTAAATTTTTGTCGTTTTTTCTTAACAAGTTCCGTGCATGGCAAGGGTACGGCACTAGTTCATAACTTCATATTAATATGTTAAAAAATCCTAATTTTCAATTCACAAATGAAATCACACAATGACACAAATTATTCACCAATAGTAGAAGAAATCACATTTTACATTCTTTAAAATTTGCATAAAACAGCCCCACACTCAATCTAAAGAATCAAGATTTCAAGCTATTAGCTACTTACATTGAAATAGTAAAAAAATAAAGAATAAACACTTATGAGTTATGACTTGCCTGGGGTTTGGGGTGATTAGAAGTGAGATTGTGAGAAGCAGACTACCACGCAGTGGAGGGAGGCATGAGGCGGGGGCGGTGTGCTGCGTGAGGGAATGCGGCGGCGTGAGGCGGGTACGGCGTGCCGCGTGCGGGGCTGCCACAGGCCGACTGCGACCTTGACTCCTTGCGACTAGACAAAGTGCCGTACGGGATTGGATAACGGGAAGGTTTGGGGAATTCTATTCACAGCCCCCTTTTACTAAACACAGCCACTAAATTAAATAGGAATAATTAAAAATAAATTAAATATCTAAATTACCCTTACTACAATACTACCTACCGATCGTTTAAGTGATTGAGAAGCTCAATTAATGTGCAAAGTTCAAACGCATAAACACAAACCGGGAAGTTGAGCGTAAACCCAAAACGCAGAAACCTAGACCGGGAAGCACAACGCAGAAGTGCAAACCATGTCACCGTAGAGTATAATTCATCAAAGATGTGAGGAATTCAGCAAGGGAAGTATCATCTTCATGTCTTACTATTGGCTGTTGCTGACCTTGAGTAGGATGGCTAATCTTCTTCTCACTGAGAATAAACTCCACAAGCTGAAATCAATCTGAGAAATTACAAATACACACACTTAAAAATTAAAGAAGAAAGTTAAAAGTTTTACACTTTCACTGCACTGAGCTTGAAGATAAGTCTACATTTGCACCATAATTCAAATAATCAAATCGTAATACTCATTGCTACATTGAAATCACAGATAAAAAAATGCACGCAAAGAATGAATACATTGAATATGTTTCAGATATTACCCACAGAGCCTGGTTGGTAAATTCTGAATATCTCAACGTTGATAATAATAGGTAAGGTGACCTGTTATCTAGAAATAGGTTTCTGAACTGCAGCAAACATGGATGAAGAAATCAGTTTTCCTTTCTTTAACGGAGTTGTTTTTAGATCAACTTGTTTACATTAAGCCCTCAAGTAGTTTGATTTTCAGAAAAAAACTACTTGAGCTTCCATGTTTATGTTGCCTACTTATTTTATCAGCTAAATGGTTACCGAACAGAATAAACAACACTTCTCAAAGCAATGCCCTGGAAGTTAGTTGTTTCTTTTTCTTTGAGGGAAATCAGTGTTTACAACCATCAATTTGTGAAAGATGTGGTTAACAGTAATCTGGCCAGAGAACATTTATATATAACATGTGAAAGAGGTTAAAAGTCTGGTGATCTTTTGCTAACAAAAAACATATATACAGACATTTTTTTTGGAAAACATATATACAGAGATAGAAAGAGGTTTTGCTTTCTACTCAAATCTTGAGTTGTATTTCCAACATGGCATAATCAAATGTTGAATTATCAGAAGCAACTAACAGTGCCCTACACTCTCCTAATCACCAGTCACCACTCTACATTACTAGAAACATTTCACCCCATTAAACATCACTAAAGTAAGCAACAAGGTAGTTCTAAACCTTAGACATGTTCTATAACTAAGACCCCACTCTGTTAAAGTATGATTGTTGTGGGAGGGAGCTTGCTTTAATTTCAAAAATTAGAGAACTGCACTGACTGCATCACACAAAAAGAGTCATATCAAACCAATGTATAACTTTATATTTGGGTAACGTACAACTTATATAATTCATTAATCCTACTTATACTTTTTAGACTTATTGGTTTAACTAAACTTGTTATATGCAACTTTTATGACAACCTTATTCATCAACTTGCTTCAATGTTAGCTCCATTTCATTAAACAGAACTCATTTATGAGATGCAGGGAAGTGTTTAAAATAACTCCATTCGTCAAAGCCATTTGTAGAACAACCCTTTCCCAGTCATACCCTAAGTATCACTTGCCAAAAAATAAATAAATTGAGAGGGCAGTTTTAACAGACTCAAGTAAAACAAGTCTTGAAATCCCCGAACACCAGTTACTGCTTCCTTTGAAGAATACCAAAATAAATAAATTGGGAGGAAATTTATGTTTTAACTTCCTATGAAGGGATCGACTTCAATCCATTCCTTTTTTCTTAATTACTATAAACCTCTCTACCTATTTTAATTCAATTCTAAATCAATTCAACCACTACCTTTTCCACTTTAAAGGGAAAGAAGATATGAGGCAATTTTGAGAAAACGAAAACAGGGACACAACAGATGGAGCACAATAGATAAATCAGGCGAGCCAGATAAGGGGAGAGAATGAGCCAGCTGTTAGAGCCTTACTTGCTTGTTAGAGGACAGGTAGCCCAACACCAACACCCCACGTCGGAGTAACTGAAGAAGCAATCGGCGACTACACCTTCCGCTCAAACCGCGCCTCCGAGTAATGGTATACAGCCTTCTCCTCGTGCCCTTTCGACTTGCTGTCTTGCACGAGAAATGGGAAAGAGTTCTGCTTCAGTTCTGTCTCCCTCTTTCCGGAAAGTTCAGGAAAAAAAAAAGTATCTATTTGTTAGAGCCCATATATGTGTATTTTAAAACGTAACTGTTTTCTCCGATGACTTATGCCTACATTTAAACATTAGAAAGTGGTTAAGGCATTCTGTCGAACATGTAGCGGACATTCGTGAAATCCTTGACTATGAAAATTAGTTGCATACAATCGATCCAAAAGATGGAATCTCCCGTCCCAGGGGAGACCAAAACCAGATCCGACAGATTGGTGGGGAGGTTAGTCACGGTGACTTGTTGAGCAGAATGATATTGGGCTCATACACCCATGCGCACCAGAGGCCCAGTCATATTTCAGATTCTGTAACCTCCACCCGGTCGTTGCGGGGATTCGAATCTTGGTACATTGATCCAAATCTCCCGTCACTCGACCAACTGAACTACCCGTGTGGGTAAAAAAAAATTAGTTGCTTACTAAAGTTGTTATCAAGTTGGACTGGGAAAGAAGTCTAAATGTTTGGTAAGAGTGTACAGAGAGCTTGAAATACGAACAAGGGAATTAACAATTTCAGAGAAGAAGAAATAGATGGATTTAGAAATGGAGGTCTAAGATGGAAGAATACCACTTCGTTGTAGCAGATTACGATGAGAAGGGGAAGAAAGTGTCCCCGAATGAAATTAGAAGAGAAGAAACTTATTGGTCCTCTCTTTGGAAGTGAATGAAATAAACTTCGCGTACGGAAGGTGCCTGTTGATGACAGATTGATAACCGTGAGACAATTCTGAATTGTCTGTACGTGTGCAGAGGGTTGGTTAACAACAATGCGTATTTCGAATCTTTCTGTTTGATGAAATGTTACGTGCAAATGAGATGGATGCTAGATTGGAAGAAAAAAGGATCATAGTAACCCATATTTGCTTTTATTATTTAAGCAGATATATGTGTTTCAATGTGCTATGAATAAGAGGTACATTTAGCAATTGTGTAACATAAAATCCATTAGTTTGGTATTTAGGTGTAAACCTGTTTTTTTTAATGCTTCTATTTATACAATTATATGTATATTTAATTTTCGTTACAATTATTATCAATTATCGATTTACGGTCATTATGTTTAGTCTAGATCCCGGCATCCCTTAAAATAAAACTCTGGTTCCGCACCGGTGGGCGTAGCTCAACTGATAGCAAGGGAGTGCCACAAGGGTTAGGTCCCGGGTTCGAATCCCGGCAACTACGATAAAGGGTTACTATGCTAAAATTGCATAAGCCCTCTGGAAGTACCGGGGACAGAGCATCACTCTCTATCTGTCAGATTGGGATTATAGTCCAATTTACATCGTTCCAACGTACCGTCCGATCGGGTTGGGGGCCCTCAAGGATGGGGTGTCATCCTTTCCGGAAAGTTCAGAGATTAGCTAGGTGGAGCATAAAATTAGGGAAGGGATGTTTGGTAAATAGCTGTTCGGCATTAGCCTTTTCGGAAGAAAAAGTTGAAATTAAAATGTCCCTAATAGGAGAGTTTTGGGTTGACGTTTTGAAAGATTGACCTTTTCTACTATTTTATGGAGTTTGTTTCCGGAATAATGCTAATTAAATAAAAAAAACTCTCAAATTTGTGGCCTTATAAATTATGAATGTTTGAAGGGTTGGTCTTCCTTGCGCGGTCCCCACTTGTGTGTCTGTTTGCCTGGAATGGTGGTGGTACGAGCTGGTGATCGTGATGTGTGGGCTTTTGGTTTGCTCAGCCCCAAAGCATCCATTTAGGGCGGGCGGAGCCACGATTTGGGACGGGGACCAATACAAAAAATATACTCCCGGATCTTTTTAAACTTCACACTTTTCTTTTTGGGATGGTCCAAACCAAATTTCACACTTCCTTATTTACTTATTCAGCAAAGAAATCTACATCAAAACAGTGTTAAACAATGCTAAACAGTGCCAAACAGCGTCTCAACAATGCGAAACAGTGTCTTAACAGTGCGAATTAGTGTCTCAACAATGTCAAACAGTGTCTCAAAAGTGTACTCTACAGTAAAGTCAAATTTATTTTCTTAATCAATGTGAAATCAAACTGTGAAGTTTAAAAAGATCCGGAGGGAGTATTTGGAAAACAATTTACACAAACAAAATTTAACTTAAAAATTAATTAAGATATTTTTTAAATTTAGGGTGAGGTAGGACTTAAGTTTCTCCTCTAGATGTTCCATTGCATCAATGTGTATCCTTACCGGACGACGGCTCTGCTATACGTCTTCTGCCCTGCTTGAGCTAGAATCTCCATGATCGTTTCCATGGCCTTGGCTTTCAGGTCGGGAGTGGAGGCTTTGACGTTCACAGTGGTCATGCGGTGCCGCGGTGGAGGTGGGGGAGGCTTTTTACCAAGGACCCAGAGCCGGCAGGGTCGGTCCCGACAAAATGGAGGCCCTGTGCAACAAAAAAAATTGGTCTTTCTCTTCCACACAAATGGATACTCCCTTTGCCACATAAAATTCTTCTTGGTTTGACTTGGGCCGAAGTTGAATAAAGTGGAAATGTATGGTTGTGTTTAAGTAAAAAAAATGTAAATGAATGTTAGCCACACAAAACTTTTCAAAAAAAGGAATGAGAATATTTTTTGGGAAATCCCAAAATGGTAAATAAGAATAATTTTATGTGAGGGGATATGAAATATAAATAAAGATGATAGTATTGACAAAATTCAATCAGATTGTTAAACATAATTACTTTAAATACATAATTAAATAAATTTATTGGGACTGAGGAATTGGGATGGGACGATCTAATACTTTTGAACACAGGCTGATCCTTCCTTTCTCAATCTTTTTTGCACATGGGCTGGCTAATACTATTACGGAGCAATGTTCTGAAAAGCATAAGTTCAGGCGAGGCGTAAGCGCGAAAAGATATTCTACTTTTTTAGTCATTGTTTTAATTTTCCTACCTTCATCAATAAGAATATTTTAGTATTGCATAATAAGGAGTATTACACAAGAACACCATTTTAATTTTTATACTGCCATTAATACGGAACACTATTATTTAGTACTCCATAATATTTGGTAGAATAATTGTTGTAGGCTAATTTAGTTCACACTCCTAAAGAGCTAAATGTTTATTTAGGAAAAAATGTGCTAAAGGCATTTTATGCAAATGCTTAGTGTGTACTCTATCCTTCAGTCAGTTTTCCCACACCGGAAGGTTCAAACTATTCTTCCATCTGCTTTGGCTACATATTGCTCCTCATGCATTCAATAATTTCTCACTTTCGTACGGCTTCAAGCTCAACACAGCAACACTCACAAAGGCCCGATGGGCCTTGCGGTTTGTAGTGTTCCTTTAGCGGAGGCCCAATTTTCCTGTGCCTTTGGCAATATTTGAGAACACTATTATAGAGTATTACATTATTTTGGTCCCTTGGAATTGTGGGCCCTGTGCAAGTGAGCTGCCTACACTTGCTCTGGGCCGGCCATGCCCAGAGGTTCTTGAACTCACGGTGGTTCCCTGCCGGTAGCAGGGCTTTGCAAGCCCGGGAACTGCGCGCAAACCACCAGATCGTGGGTTCTAATAGGGACGGCCCGCCTGGCCATCAGAGCTATTACAAACTGATGTAAAATTGTATTAATAATGCGAGTTTAGTCAGATAAAATCCCGAGTTTAATCACAAATCACCAGACAAATCACCAAATGCAAGAACAGATAAAGAAATAATAATAGTTAGAAATAAAATAATAATGTAAAAAGTAGAGAATGAAAAACTTAGCGTAAGATCGTCCGTTGACCGGACTGGCCTTGAAGAAAGATAGCCCCCGTATCTCGATAGCTACTCGAACGGGACTGGCCAACTCGCTCCCAGGATAATCCTACCTCTGTTCCGGTCCTTTAGCTTGCTTGACAGAAACACCTCGACCGTTGTCCGATTGCCAATTAATAGATATGAGCCGGAAATAAAAATACTAGTATAAACTATGGAAATTTATGTCTCTCGGAAAATGAACAGCACTCTTTCGAATTGAAGAGTAGAAATTAAAAGAGCTGCTGAGAGAAGAACTAGTTTATGGGCTTCTCAATTGAATGGGAAAACAAATGAGATAAGTTAATTCAAAAACTTCTGTACGTGAGAGAATTATAGGAGCATGTGGTGGATTACTTTTACGTGGAAATCAGGCTGGTATACATATACCAACAATTGGTCAAAATTGCTTAACTGCTCCTATAAAGTTGCCGCCATGATCCATGCATGATGACCGGATCAAGTTTAACCAAGTATGACCAAGTCAAGCACTTTAAATTTTAAATTTAAAGTACACGTCCATATCTGTACTTAGTCAGCAAGATTACTTTAGTGCAATTAAACATTTCGCAGGCTTCTCCATTTTATTATTAAACTCATTTCAGAATTTTTGTCCCAAAAATTAAATGGTTTTTTTTTCTGAATTAAAATATTTGTGTACCGGCCCGTTATTCTGTTTGGTCCGAGCAAGTGAATGAGCACACATACAAAAATATTTCAAGTCACCTTATATGATACTTAAACATCGTTCCTTATCATATAATAATAAAACCGCCATTTATTTTAATTGTTGGACAATAAATTCACTAAACTAATACATTGCATTTACAACTTTCACAACTATGGATTCTAGTCATTAAATGAAATAGATCCGAACATGCAAGTTGTTTTTTTAATGTATAATAAGCCACACCCATTTCATATATTATACCATTATTTATTTCATCATATTTCCAACAATCCTCCACAAATCCATAGTTGTTGGCTCAACTCTAAAAGACATAATGTGCTTTCGAATATGGTACCTTCCGGTTTGAACCAACTTCTAAGCTTTTACCCCTAACCCCCACAGGAACTGAGTGAACATAGTTCTTGAACTCGAACCTTGGTTGTGGTGGTGTAGAATAAAGGCAACACACTAAAGGCAATGGCAACAATCTATAGGGTTGACGCTTTACGGCCGTGCGTCCCGATCCTGTCTCAAGAATGTCATCGAGAATTAATCCCTATTCTCTAATTGCGGCCACACAATAACATTCTCATAGTTGGGCATCTCTAAGAGTGCATTGCTGACACTCTGCTTTAAAGCTCGATCCCATTCAGAGTCTTAAACTCTTACTTACTTAGCAATTCCAGCATCTCTCAGGTTTATCAAGGAATAGAACTCATAAAATATTTTTATGAGATGCACAATTCACACCACGGTTTGTTTATACCACATTGAACCTACTTTATGGGATCTCCACTTAGATAGGTTGGGTTGCTACCGTAATTGAATAATTATTGGGTTTCAGTCTCATTCCTAACCTGGATTTTATCACTTGATTTAAATCAAGTCCTTTTGTTAAAGGGTCTGCTGTATTATCTTTGGATCCGACAAAATCAACAGCAAACACCCCTTGAGATACAAATTTCCTTATAGTTTTTAATCTAACTTGAATGTGTCTCCTAGTCTTTTGATTATATTTGGTACTCCTAATTTTTGCAATTGTGCTCATACTATCACAATGCAAACAAATAGGTGGAATTGGCTTGCTGAATATAGGTAACTCAGACATTAGTCCCATAAACCATTCAGCCGTAATTCCTGTAGTATCCAATGCACATAATTCAGCCTCAAAAGTGGACCGAGAAAGTATCGTTTGTTTAGTGGACTTCCAGGCAACAGCCCCACCACCAAACGTAAACACATAGCCGGTACATCCATAACTCCCGGAATTCATAGCTATCCAGCTTGCATCACTATATCCCTCAAGAACAGGAGGATATTTACCATAATGCAAACACAAGGAAATTGTTCCTTTTAAGTATCTGAATACTCTATCTAAGGCCTCCCAATGAGTTCTGTTTGGACAACAAGTGTACCGGCTCAACTTAGACACCGAAAATGCAATATCGGGTCTAGTACAGTTAGCTAAGTAACCCAAGCTACCAATCATCTGAGAATATCTTAATTGAGACACAGGAATACCACTTTCATTTTTATACAAAGCTACTGAAGGATCATAGGGTGTTTTAGCAATTCTACTGTTTTTAAATCCAAATTTCTCAATTACTTTTTCAATATAATGCGACTGAGAAATAGAAATGCCTTCAGTTGATCTAGTCAACTTTAGCCCAAGAATTACTTCAGCCACCCCCATATCCTTCATTTCAAACTTTGTTTTCAAAAATGACTTAGTCTCAAAAATAATATTATCATTAGTGCCAAATAATAATATATCATCAACATATAGGCATAAGATAATACTAATATCACCTTTACATTTATAATAAACACTTTGATCAGCATCTATAAGAGTAAATCCAAACGAAGAAATTATTTTATCAAATTTTTCGTTCCATTGCTTAGGGGCTTGCTTAAGTCCATATAAAGACTTAACTAATTTACAAACTTTTTTCTCATTGCCTTTTGCCACAAATCCCTCAGGCTGATCCATATAAATTTCTTCTTCAAGGTCACCATGAAGAAAAGCTGTCTTAACATCCATTTGATGAATTTTAAGATCATATACGGAGGCCAATGCTATAAGCATTCTTATTGTGGTCATCCTTGCGACCGGAGCATATGTATCGGAAAAAACAATACTTTCTTTTTGTTTGTAACCCTTAGCAACTAATCTGGCCTTATATTTATCAATGGTTCCATCCGGTTTTAATTTCTTCTTAAAAATCCATTTACATCCAATAGTAGTGCACCCCGGAGGAAGATCAACGAGCTCCCATGTTCCATTTTGAACAATAGAGTCCATTTCACTTTTAATGGCATCCTTCCAATGCATGGCTTCAGATGTAGCCATTGCATCTCTAAAGGAAACTGGATCACCCTCAATATTGTAAGTGATAAAATCACTTCCAAATTCCTTAGTAATCCTAGCCCGTTTGCTCCTTCGGGGCTCATCTAGTTCATTTGATTCAAAACTAGCGTGACTAGTACTACTAGATTCTACCCCCACATTTATCATCTTTTCCACTTGACCAGGAATTGAATTAAATGTGGTTTCTTAATTTTTAAAAGAAATATTTTGGGGCACATCCGTTTTCATTGGAAAAACATTTTCAAAGAAAGTAGCATCACGAAGTTCTATAATAGTATTAACATCTATGCCAGAAATTTCAGATTTAATAACCAAAAATCTCAATGCATAAGAATGTTCAACATAACCAATAAAAATAGCATCAACAGTTTTAGGCCCAAGTTTCTTTCTTTTGTGTTCAGGGACTAATACTTTTGCAAGACAGCCCCACACTTTAAAATATTTTAAACTTGGTTTTCTGCCTGTCAAGAGTTCAAATGGACACTTATCTTTATGTCTCATGGGAATCCTGTTCAAAATATGGCAGGCCGTATTCAAGGCTTCCCCCCACATAAGCTTAGGTAATCCAGAGTTCTCTAATAAACTGTTAATCATATCTTTAAAAGTTCTATTTTTCCGTTCAGCTACTCCATTTGATTGCGGTGAATAAGGAGGTGTTTCTTCATGTACTATACCTTATTTTTGGCATTCTAGTACAACTAAATTAGAGGTGTATTCTCCTCCCCTATCAGATCTTAACCTTTTAATTTTCTTGCCAGTTTGATTCTCTATTTCATTCTTAAAAATTAAGAATTTTTCAAGAGCTTCATCTTTACCCTTAAGTAGATACACATAACAGTATTTAGAATAAACATCAATAAAAGTGATAAAGTATTTCTTTTTGTCACGAGTTAGCACTCGATTAAACTCACAAATGTCGGTATGAATTAAATCAAGTAATTCTGAATTTCTATCAATTGAATGATAAGGTTTTCTTACTTGTTTTGTAGTAGCACATACCATACATTTCTTAGTTTTATCAATTGAGTGTTTAGGAATTAAATTTAAATTCATCATTCTTTTCACAGAATCTAAATTAACGTGACCCAAACGATAATGCCATAAAGTTGAAGAATCACAATTCTCAGATACATAATTTAATTCATAATAATCAACCACAATCTTAAAAAGTCCATCTGACAAGTAACCCTTGCCAATAAATGTTCCACCAAATAAAATTACAACTTTATTTAATTTAAAAGACAATTCATAACCCTCCCTTACAAGAATGGAACCACTAACAATGTTCCTTCTAATTTCGGGAACATGATGCACCCCATGCAAAGATAGAATTTTTCCCGAAGGAAATTTTATTTCCACTTTTCCAACTCCATGCACACTAGCAGCACTTGTGTTTCCCATCATCACTGTTCTTCCAACCGCTGGCTGATAAGAAACAAAGAGCGATTTATCAGCACATACATGCACATTCGCTCCTGTATCTATTAGCCACTCATTGGAATTATAAATAGTGAAAACTTGAGGGTTAAAAGAAACATACCCATCAGAACTAGTTCCTCCAGTCACCATGTTGACTTGAGGTCCACCAGATTGAGCCTTAGCCTTTTTATTTGGGCATAATTTGGCCCAATGCCCCATCTGTCCACAGTTCCAGCATGGACGGTTTGCCTTTGGTTTCTTTGCAATTTTTAATTTGGCCTTTATTGGTTTAAAAGATGATGGTTGTTTATTCTTAGAATTTTGTGACTGTTTTCCCACGGTTACAACATGAGCCTTTGGCTGAAATTCAACAGGAACAATGTAACCCGCTTTCTTATGTTCTTCCTCAACAGTAATGGAATGCATCAAAGATTTCCAAGTTATCTTTTTCATTTTGTGTTTTAAAGTCAAACCAAAATCTTCCCACGATTTGGGGAATTTTTCAATTACAGCCATGACTTTAAATTTTTCAGGCAATTCCATATCTGCTTCACGGAGAGAATGTAAGATAAGCTCAAATTCTTGTGTTTGTTCTAAAACAGATTTTCCCTCCTTCATGTTGAATCTCAAGAATTTGGAAACTATACTTTTCGAGACCGTGGTCATCAGTATTATATTTCCTATCCAGCTCATCCCAAAGGTCTTTAGCCGTGCCGTGGAGGGTGCAATAGACATCAAATAACATGTCGGAGAGTCCCAACAATATCATTCCTTTGGCTATTTCATTCCTCTCACGCCATAAAGATTGGCGTTCAAGACTCTTGGGATCAGACTCGACAACGGGGGGACACACTGTCATAATTACCGAGAGCAATCCCTTGGTGATTAACCAAATTTTCATGCGTTGTTGCCAACGCTTGAAAAAATGCCCAGAAAATTTTTCAGGCATTCCAGTCAAATCAACCCTGTGAGAGCCCGTGGCAACAAATTCAGGTGTGTCTTCAAAATTAGTCACAGACACAGAATTGACATTATTTTCAGGGATTTCATTCACATTATTTTCAACAACAACATTTTCGGAAGTAGCAACATTTTCCAAGTTCGTCATATTGGATTTTCAAAACTCGAGAAATAATATCTTTCTTCAAGATTGATGTAAAATTGTATTAATAATGCGAGTTTAGTCAGATAAAATCCCGACTTTAATCACAAATCACCAGACAAACCACCAAATGCAAGAACAGATAAAGAAATAATAATAGTTAGAAATAAAATAATAATGTAAAAAGTAGAGAATGAAAAACTTAGCGTAAGATCGTCCGTTGACCGGACTGGCCTTGAAGAAAGATAGCCCCCGTATCTCGATAGCTACTCGAACGGGACTGGCCAACTCGCTCCCAGGATAATCCTACCTCTGTTCCGGTCCTTTAGCTTGCTTGACAGAAACACCTCGACCGTTGCCCAATTGCCAATTAATAGATATGAGCCGGAAATAAAAATACTAGTATAAACTATGGAAATTTATGTCTCTCGGAAAATGAACAGCACTCTTTCGAATTGAAGAGTAGAAATTAAAAGAGCTGCTGAGAGAAGAACTAGTTTATGGGCTTCTCAATTGAATGGGAAAACAAATGAGATAAGTTAATTCAAAAACTTCTGTACGTGAGAGAATTATAGGAGCATGTGGTGGATTACTTTTACGTGGAAATCAGGCTGGTATACATATACCAACAATTGGTCAAAATTGCTTAACTGCTCCTATAAAGTTGCCGCCATGATCCATGCATGATGACCGGATCAAGTTTAACCAAGTATGACCAAGTCAAGCACTTTAAATTTTAAATTTAAAGTACACGTCCATATCTGTACTTAGTCAGCAAGATTACTTTAGTGCAATTAAACATTTCGCGGGCTTCTCCATTTTATTATTAAACTCATTTCAGAATTTTTGTCCCAAAAATTAAATGGTTTTTTTTTCTGAATTAAAATATTTGTGTACCGGCCCGTTATTCTGTTTGGTCCGAGCAAGTGAATGAGCACACATACAAAAATATTTCAAGTCACCTTATATGATACTTAAACATCGTTCCTTATCAAATAATAATAAAACCGCCATTTATTTTAATTGTTGGACAATAAATTCACTAAACTAATACATTACATTTACAACTTTCACAACTATGGATTCTAGTCATTGAATGAAATAGATCCGAACATGCAAGTTGTTTTTTTTTTAATGTATAATAAGCCACACCCATTTCATATATTATACCATTATTTATTTCATCATATTTCCAACACAAACTTGGGCTATTTTTACTTGGTGGTAATGCTGGTGGTTCTATTATTTGGCCTCACAGTTAAAATGGGCTTAGGTGGCCGTGATTGGGCCTTCTGATGGCCCAAACCTCTTGCGCCTCTCTCATGCTCTTGCTCTCCTCATTTGACTAGAAGACTGAAAATATGGAAGAAGAAGAACCCATAGCAGAAGAAGAGGTTATAAATATTATTAGTCCCGATGGGTTAGTGGATATATTTTCATCTAATAATGAAAATTTGTTACCTCTCATTTCTAGCCAACATTTTAACTAGTTAATTGTGGTGTCATGTTATACGATAGTATATAGCTTGTTCTTGTATTTCAAGAATTTTGCACCCACTTTATTAATATACTATAAATGCAATCTGTGTGCTATGTTTTCCCAATAAGTTCAAAAGGTATTTCGGGCATACAGATTTAAGAAAAGTAGCATGTGTAATATACTTAAGATAAAAAACGTAAGAAATTTTATCAAGTACCGAATGATTGAAAACTACAGAGTATCAATCTAGTACCTAAGTTACGTTGTCATGAATTTTATTATTTCTTTATTTTAAAAAAATTAAAATATTATTTAACTAATTTAAATAATCAACTTTTGTGAAGAAAAATTTATAGAAATTTAGTAATACAATTAATAAAAAATTTAAATAAATCAAAACTTATGAAATTTTAGATCCTGGATTGATAGTCTTCAATCAATCGATCACTATATTAACACATTTCATCTTTAAAGTTTCGAGTTGATAATTCGTATCTCTTTCAGGTCCTAGATCAATAAAATTTCAAAAAGTAAATACTAAAAAATTAATAAATTAACATGATGCCTTGTATATACTACCTCCATCCCTTAACGCAAGATGCATATGAGTTTGATGCGAGTTTCAAGAAAATAAAAGATAAAATATAATGATTGTTTTACAATCCTAACATCCAACGTAAATGATGAAATGATAGATAAATAAAGAGATGAAGGGGGAAGTAAAAGTGAGTGGAGTCGAACTTATGAAAGTGATCATGTACTTTGGGACAATCAAAAAAGGAAAGTTTATCTTACAGATTGAAGAAAGTATGACAAGGTAAGAGGAGTTGCAGTTGCACTTGGGTATACTATGATGGTCGACGTGACCGGCAATTGCGGTGCTTGACACCATATATCACATAACATTACATCAGGGAACAACCCTACTATTTTAGTTTTCATGTGTTCACTAATATTTTTTTGACAATATGTGTTCACTAGTCTTAAATGTTAATGATTCATACACTACTACAACTGCTATGAAGTATGAGTAAATTCTATATAATACGAAGTACATTTTAATGGAGAGACATGTGCTTGCCAAGTGAAGGAGGGTTGGTATTCGACTATTGTCATACATTGAAAAATCTTTTTCACTTAAGTTATGGTAAATGTGGAAAAAGAATGATTCATTTTGGTCTAAATTCTACCATGCCCAGTACCCTAGGGATTGTGATATGAACTCCAAGATATCTCACTCTCTAAATTGGAGAAGGTTAATTGTGTAGCATAAATGACAGGGGGGGCTAGTTTAGAGATTGGGGATGATAATAACTTGATTTGATTACCTGGCATGGTAGGTCACTTCTCACTTAGCTTGCTTCAGCCTTTGAGGATGTTAGATGGAGAAGCTCCTCCACTTTCTCCTGTAAACGTATTTGGCATAAAAATCAGCCTATGCAGATAACTTTTTTTCCGATGGAGGCTCTTACACAACTTGATACCTATTTCAGAAAATTTGCTTTCATTGAGATTGGATATATTCCCTTACAATGCCCCTTTTGTAGAAATGAGGTCACATTTTATGGGTATTTTTTGGGTTGATAGAATACACATCCCTATATTTGTTCGGCATTTGAGGAGTAATTGGTGGTTAACGGCTGGTCAAAAGTCTCTTATGGATATATTTTGATAAAATCTATCTGCAATCATGGTTTGCCATTTATGGAAGCTATACGCTAATCTAGTGTATGGAGATTTTTCAGTCTTACTCTACTCGGAATCCATAATTGTTAGGATAAAAAAATATGCTCTAAATTGATCTTACATAAATTGAAAATGAGTGCAAATTTTGAGCTATTGAAGTCAAAAAACATTATTCACGAAGGTTTTGCATCTGCTAATCCACAAATTAGAATATTTAAGTGGTCTAGACCTAACATTCAATATATGTTGAACGTAGATGCGCCATTCTTACCCGACTCTTCCAAAGGTGGAGCGACTCTGCGCAACAGAGTTGGAGATTTGAACTTCGCTATATGCTTCTCTTTCGCAACGGATTCAGTCTTCGAAGATGAGATTCAAGCTACACATCATGTGACTATCAAAGCAATAACGCTGACATTTCTTGAGTTTCAGGTGGAATTCGATTCGATCTTGGCGATTTCGACGCTTCAAGGTGCCACTTACAACGGGAGATGGAAAGTCTACACTGATGAGATATGAAGGGTTTCTAAATTTGCTAAACTCGTCCTCAGACGCTCATTTAGAGAAGGTAATTGGGCTGCTCATTACTAAGCCCATTTTGATTTGGACTCCTTTGAGAAATTTATGTTGACAATAATTGCAATTTACCATTATTAGTTACAAAATTCATTATTGCCGATTCATTTTTTTTAATTTGGGTAAGGTTTTGTTCGCCCAACTTTTTTTTAATTTTCTAATTTGTTCTCTTTTGTTGGTGTATTGCAAAAGGGTATTGCAAAAGGGTATGCCCTTCCTGGAAAAATTTTGGTATAGTCCCCCTCTCCTTTTATACCATAATTCTATTGTAAAAAATTCGACAAATGTTTCCTCGACATTTGCCACACCCATAGGTGGTTTACCTTTTGGGTGATAAAAACATAACTGATCGAAGTACATTCAAAATTTGAGACATGTAAATCTAACTAAAGCAACATCAAATTAGATACCCTAATAAATATATTATATATTGGATAGAAATCTAATACTCATACATCCCAAATTGATTAGCATGTTAAATCCTCCATATTGATAATTAATTCAAGATGTTCCTTCGAAACTATCAAACCTCAAAATTCGCACAAAATTTCTGTTGGTTTATATTATAAAAAGTGTTTCTATTCTAATGAACGAGATTGATTCGAATTTTTTAAAATTTGAAATCTTTATATTTGGTCCAAAATCTATAAATATCCCTCCTCCTAGATACTATGCTCGTCTATGAGCTTTCACGTCTATATTCTACATGGAGCTAGAAACGTCTAACAATGGGTCTATATCGAGTGGTGCTAGCCGGAGTAGCGGTGCATGAAGAAATACTCGAGCGCCAGCCAGTTCCAGATCTGAAGGATAATGTGAAGAAAATTATGTTATATTGTTAACTTTCTTCCTTTAATTGAGTTCTATATGTGGAATAAAAAGTATATATAAATATGTGATGAGATATCTATAAATGATAAACTCTACATAGGTTATATCCCCGACCAAGCTACCCCATAAACACGATGTTATGTGGGCTAGAGGAGTCGGCGACGCAACCTCTATATATACTACTTTGTAAAATAAATTTTTAATATGTTTCAAAAACAAGTGGAGCTAGTGCTAGCCGTGGTAGCGGTGCAGAGAGAAATACCCGACGCCATCCACTTCTTAATCTTAAGGTTAATGTCACATTCTAATCAAAGAGTGAACTCTCCAAAAATGTGAGAAATGCATTACTTTTGGATTGGGGTGACATTTTAACATCTAGACTTCAGTTATGAAATTATTTGAATTTTCTATATCTAACGTTTTCTATAGTTTCCTTATCATTTTCTATTTAACGCGTGAAAGTACGAATTGTATATCTACTCATTTATAACGGACTTTTATGGTGAATCCTGCACATTTCAAGTATATAATAAGTATATATAATTCAGGTCCTAACTAATATATGTCTAACATTGATAAGAAGTATTTTCAAATAAATAGTGTGTGCAACAAGCGGTCGAGTTTCGTGCTTAGACCAGTATGTACATGTCCCCAAAATCAATGAGTGTAAAAAAGAATTTTCTTAACTTCTATCCTATTCATCACCCTTTGTTTTGTAAAAGAAATATTTTAATATGTTCCAAAAAGGACGATTTTCATCACAAGTTCCCGTGTGTTAAAACATTAGATTTACATCGAGATGCACCATTCTTACCTGACTCTTCCAAAGGTTGAGCGACTCTGCGCAACAGAGTTGGAGATTTGAACTTCGCTATATGCTTCTCTATCACAACGGATTCGGTCTTCGAAGCTGAGATTAAAGCTATACATCATGCGACTATCAAAGCAACGATGCTGGCATTTGTTGAGTTTCAGGTGGAATCAGATTCGATCTTGGCGATTTCGGCGCTTCAAGATGCCAGTTACAACGGGAGATGAAAAGTCTACGCTGATGAGATACGAAGGGTTTCTAAATTTGCTAAGCTCGTCTTCAGACGCACATTTAGAGAAGGCGATTGGGCTGCTCATTATTTAACCCATTTGGATTTGGACTACTTTGAGGAATTTATGTTGACAATAGTTGCAATTTACCATTTTTTTAGTTGCAATTTACCATTATTAGTTAGAAAATTCATTATTGTTGATTCATTTTGTTTAATTTGGATAAGGTTTTGTTCACCCAAATTTTCTTTACTTTTCTATTTCGCTCTCTTTCATTCGTGTATTGGGAAAGGAAAGAGTATGCCCTTTCTGGAAAGGTTTTGGTATAGTCTCCCTCTTCTTTTTACCTTAATTCTGTTTTAATAAAATTCGACAAATGTTTCCCTGACATTTGCCTCACCCATAGGTGATGCCTTTTGGGTGAAAACAAAACTGATCGGAGAATAAAATAAGAATAAATTAAAATCACACAAATGTTACCAAATATGATATAAGACAAATTTGATTGGATGAACGAAAAAGGAAAAATAAAAAATAAGACAATTATAGTGGGACAAAGGAATAATAATTATCCTCATGGGAACCACATCGTAGAGGGAGTGGAAGAAAGAGATTTTGTTGTCAATTGTCATTATATTATTATTTTAACTATTATATTATTTTAATGTGTATTCTCGAAAGTGCTTTTTATAACATCACTATCATTATTCATATTAGAGATAGAAAAGAGTAATACATCAATTAGACTAGAAAATCATTTACTCACACAGATTTTAAACATCAAAAAAAGAATGTACAAGAAGAGAAATCAATGATACCGCATATTATGAGAACTAGATCTCAAACACGAGCAGAGTTATGAAAGTTTGTATGAGGATTAAAGTTTAGTTTCTGAGGGTTTTATATACTTTGAGTTGGCTGGTTGGATATTACATTTTAGTTTGTTTTTACATGACAATACTTTACTAATTTTCTTTTATCCTCTCATGTAAGTGAAAGAATTTAGAAATTTGCGATTTGTTTTAGTCTAGTGAAAATGTGATTTGAAACATGGAAACGTTACTTCATATAAGATATAACTTTCACATATTTTCCTAATTCAAAATTCTTTATAGCAAGTAACAATTGTACTACTTTTTCATCCGACCATTTTTGGTGCATATTATTTTGGAATGTCGCTAATAAAATATTTAAATATAATCTTTCTAGGCGTCTCATTTACAGAGTATTATTTTGTTTTGATGTTTTATACTCGTATTTAAATAACGAAATTGCTTAATTTTGATTATAGTTTTTTTATAAAAATTATAAATATTCACATGTTATCCCAAAACCCTACTCTATCTGTATTGACCCGGATCCATAAAATAGCATATGATCGAACCTGATTATCCCCCACCATCTCCACCCATCCTCGTGTTTTGTACATATCCACATTCTTGACACTCGTCTTCAGCGATCAAAGTCCACACCCACACACATTAATACTCTGTACTTTTTCTTTATATACATTAATACTCTGCCATTGACGATGACGATCTGCAAAAAAAGGATGACACCCCATCCCTGACTACCCTGAGGCCCCCAACCCCGATCGGACGGTACGTTGAGAGGATGTAAATTGGACTATAATCACAATCTGACAGATAGAAAGTGGTGCTCTGTCCCCAATACTTGCAGAGGTCCTATGCATATTTTTAGCATAGTAACCTCTCATCGCAGTTAGCGAGATTCGAACCCGGGACCTAACCCTTGTGGCACTCCCTCGCTACCAGTTGAGCTACGCCCACTGGTACAATGATAATCTGCAACTCTATCTAGAATGGCCAAAACTTCAAAAACTTGATAAATGATTTTCTTACTTATATAGGAGTATAATTTTTAGTTATTATATTCTTTGTGAATTAGTGATTGTTTACACAATCACACTATGATCCAGTGCCCATTATGAAATTGGACAGCGAGTGCTTTTAAATGGGCTGGTAAGGTCCACTACGATAGAAGGCCGAAGTATTTATTTACTTAACTGAAAAAACAGAAAGGATTATCCCGGAGATTATTACAAGCATATATCATTTGCCACGATGACCATTAGCATTTCCTTATTATTCTCTAATTGTCAATTTGGAAAGGTCGAATTCCTGTTATTCCGGAATAATAATTCTAGTCCCACCGCTGATTTCCATCCTAAAACCGCAACGCGCCTCCACCTCCAACTCCCACGCTCCTCTTCTTCTCCTACACTTTCTCATCCGTCTCGCTCCGCCGCATTTCTGTGCTCCTCTTCTCTCGCCTCTGGTAACTATTTCAATCTCTCCCGCCTCTGCTTCGCAACTCGAGTGATTGATTTGATCAATACGTATGGTTGTGATTTATCTGTGCGCGTATAAACTTTTTGTGATTCAGTTGAACTTTATGTTTCTTTTTAATGGTTGATTTTGCTGATTCGGTTAGAACTTTTTTTTCTGCTTTTATGTTATCGAGCATTCATTTATTTATGATTTAGTAGCTTTACCTTTCAAAAAGTTGATAGGAAATAACGCTTAATTACTTCCTCCTTCACGGATGGATCTCGTTTTACATCTGGACTTGATATGAGAGATGAACGGTGATGAAAATTGTAGAAATGAAATTATGCTGACTAAGTGACATGTAAAAAAAGTTCATACAGCAGGAAGCTTTATCATGATGTTCCTTTGAATATAATGAAGAAAGACTTCATAACTGCATTTTCTATCTGAATAGCATTTTTAGTATTTCTTTATAGCTTTAGTTGAAGGACTGATTTGCATGCTTCTGGCTTCATGCAAGTCTTTTCTGCTTCTTAACTGATTATATGGCTTGTCTTTTGCTTTCCAGTTGTAGGTATGGATGCATCTGGGGGTCAGGGTGTCTATCCTCTCCACAGGTGTAAAACAATACACCTGGTTTGTCTTCTTTCCTATATCTTTTTGTCTTCTTTCCTTTATCTTTTTGTCTTACAAATGTTGTATAAGCCTACTTAAATAATCAATCAACGATTAGTTTTGGCCATGCGCTTTCTCTTCTACTATCGTTTCGATTACATGTTCATTCACATTCTCTCAGGTTAGGCATGCTCAGGGATTTCACAATGTAGAAGGAGAAAAGGACCATAGTGCATACCTCTCTCCACACCTCTTTGATGCAAGCCTTACCCCTCTTGGCTGGCAGCAGGTAACTGGTGCATTATATATTTATATGCAACAATTTGCTAATTTAATTTGGTTGATATAATTTGTTTAAAACTCTTAATTAATATGTCTGTCATTCCTCACACATCCTTTGTTTATGAATGTTTTATTAATCGGAGAATGTCTAATGGTCTTAGACTCTTAGTTGAACAAATTTAATACCAGCTTTATTTATCAAAGGTTCTATTATGATTTACAAGTATATGAAAAAATGTGACATTCTAGTACCGTTACAGGTGGATAATCTACGCAAACATGTTCATTCATCTGGTCTTTTTAACAAGGTTGAGTTGGTTGTCGTTTCTCCTTTATTGAGGTATCAATTTGTACTTCTAATAAGTTATGAAGCTCTTGCAACAAACAAGTATTGTTTGAATGACTTCAGCTCTGTGTGTTTTCTCCTTAAATTGTTTCCGACCATGACAAACCAATTCCTGACCTTAAGTGAACCATCATTGAACCTGATATTACATTTATAAGGACTATGCAAACAGCAGTTGGTGTCTTCGGGGGAGAAGACCATGCAGATGGAATGCATGATCTTCCACTAATGGCGGCGAATGCTGGAAACAGCAGCAGGTCTGCGATTTCAAGTTTAAATTGCCCTCGTTTCCTGGCAATGGAGTTGTGTCGGGAACACATAGTAAGTTCTAAGCTGTGTATGTAAAATGTATCTTTGGATTAACCTCAATCTCTCTTTATGCTCCTGTTCTCATGCATTTGTCCTCTTTTGTATTTCATTGTCTGGTAATGTGGTTCTATTCCGGACAACTCAAGTCCTTACATTCTTGATCTTCTGCATTTTCTTTTATTCCTGAGTGTGTAAACTTTTTCTCGATATCTGATATCTAGTAAGAGAACATGTTGCATATATCTTTCTTTCTTTTACAACTGTCTCAAGGAGGCCCATGTTGTATTGCATCTCATTATCATATACATAATATTAAGTGCTTAGCTGCATACTGCTGGGTAATTTTAAATTTCTTATTTCAAATGCATATCTCATTATGCTCACATAATGACAGGGGGTTCATTGGTGTGATAAAAGAAGAAGCATCAGCGAATATAAGCCTTCATTTCCAGCAATTGATTTTTCATTGGTAAGTACATTTGCATATCATTGATATTCTCACTGAATCTTCCCAAGGGCTAATGATAATCCATCAAAATAATATGAAGTGAGAGTTTTAGTTATGTTGGGTTCATTTTCGTTTATAGGAAATTAGCAATGTGTGTTTTTTAATAGATTGAACATGATGATGACACGCTGTGGAAGGAAGACATTAGAGAGGCAAATGAAGAAGTTGCTAGTAGGGGGATGAACTTTTTAAAATGGTAATGTTCTATGTTCTTGCATTTTGACCTATCAGAGTTAGGATTAGGAATAAGATGTTCTATACTTCTATATAACTCCAATAATATATGCTACTCTCATTATTGTGGGTTGCTTATACTAGACTCGTTGTTTCTTACATTCATCTGGAACGGCTTCATTATATCTCTCCTCCATTCTAGATTTTATACTTTTGTTGATTGTATGGGAAATTAGGTGGTACTGTGGTAGCATAAATAAAAAACAACATAGAGAGTGACAAGTTATTTATCCATAAGGTAGGGTAAAATTTCAGATTAGGTCGTGGTCGCTCAATTGGCCTATAAATTGGCAAAAGTACACTAAAAGATTGAATTGAATTGACTAGCTAATCCATTCAAGGTAATTACAACCCCATCTTTCTTTAAAATTCGGATGGAGGGTTTTAACATCTTTATTATGACATTTTCTTGCTTTCCATTAATAATTCATGAATGCAACAGGCTTTCAACCAGGAGGGAGAAGGAAATTGCAGTAGTTACTCACAGCGGATTTTTGATTCATACTCTGAGTGAATTTGGAAAGGACTGTCATCAAAATGTGAAGAATGAAATTTGCAGACCGTATGATCCTTCACTATGAATTGTCTTAGAGGAATGTTGACCTATAAATTGATATACTCCCTCCGTTTCTGAAACAAGTTCCACCTTTCCTTTTCGGGCAGATTCAAAATTAAGTTCCACTTTAAAACATTTCCTTATTATCTATATCAAAACAGTGTCAAACAGTGTTCAAACAGTGCCAAACAGTGTTCAAACAGTGCCAAACAGTGCACTCCACAGTAAAGTCAAATTTATTTTCTTAATATGTGTGAAGTCAAATGTGGAACTTGTTTAGGAATCGGAGGGAGTATGTATTTGTTAATTGGCCAAATAAAAATAAAAGGCATTCTAATTGATCAAAAATAAATTATAGTTTCAATTTGTTTACTGCTGCTATATCCACCTTTTCTTAACATTTTTCCTATTTTTTGTGAATCACGGTTGCAATTCCGTTTTTTGTTAACTGCTGTTATATCCACTCTGATGGTTGTGGCATTCCTGTTTTTGCAGGTTTAAGAATTGTGAACTACGGTCAATGGTTATTGTTGATAGATGGTAAAGAGTTTTTTCATCTACTTCAGCAATATATATTTCTCTTGCATCAGTTGCATGTCAGCTACATAAATTTTGTTTCTCAAAAATCTTTTTTTCAGGTTTTCTTTGATACATAAAACTTTTTTAAAAGCACAGATGCTCTTGCTTGCTTACTATTGCTTTTTCAGAGCCCGTTTGGTAAGATTGAAATTTTTGGTGACACTGAAATTGACTGAGGAATTTCTGCCTGGATTGACTGATTCTATTAAATTATGAAAAAATTATGTATAAAATATATTTTATTATATTCAAAAATCATCACTTTATATATGAACGAAAATAAGTGTGAACTTTATTATACGAAGTAATATTTTAGAAAATAATGATTAGGTATGGATTTTATTGGTATGTGCTCTTAAATACTATTGATAAGATGTTTTGAAGGCTGAAAATCAAATTGTACATTTAAATTTGTGACCGGGGAGTATATATATTATTACTAAATCAGTTGTTTTTCTATTTCTTTAGGTTAAACGCCACTCTAGACATTCTAAAACATTTTTTCCCTGGAAAATCTTTTTTGCGGTAACTTATTTACACCCTTTTTGCATTTGTAGTATGATTGGATCAGACATTCCAACGACCGACTACCCTGGTAAAATTCCCAGTGGAGCAGATGTCCCAAGCGATGATGCAGCTTTGAAGCATTCCGATGGCCTGTCTTAACAAAAAAAATTGAAGATTATCAAATTAAACAGGAGAAGTCATTATTATTGCTCCATTTTTATTATTATTGCTCCATATTGTTTATTTACCTACCGCTATGAATATGTATTATTAGGGAGAACTATCAAATAAGCCATCAAATTTTAATAAAAAGTGCAAATAAGCCCTTTTTCAGGTGGCTTTGTCCGGCTGTCGCCATTTGAGGCGGTTTCCGGTGGAATTGTTTGATAATTTTTTTAGCATCTCTTCATTAGATCTAGTTTACCCATATCAAATTTCAGCTAAAAATTCAATCGAGAAGGCAATCAAATGATTTTCTGAAATCTACTACGCTGCCTAACTGCGCAATTATCTTCAAAAATTCATTTGACTGCCTTTCCCATTGAATTTTTAGCTGAAATTTGGTATAATTAAACTAGACTCAAATCGCTCAATGAAGAAGATGCTCAAAAAATTTCATCAAAAATTCCACCGGACAGAGCCTCGTATAAAAGGGCTTATTTGCACTTTTTATGAAAGTTCGGGGGCTTATTTGGTAGTTCTCCCGTATTATTATATACGAAATACCTATTACTTTTGTTAATCTTGGAGTAACAAATTCCGGTACCAGAAAAGAAGAAAATCAACACGTGTAGCAAGTCTTATGCTTCAGGGTATTTACTACCCTAGTATGTACTAGGGATGGAACAGGATCAGTCGGATCAGAGTATCAGACCGGTACTGGAACCGGACCTCCACTTTGCGGTATCAGCCCGGCCCGGTTAACCGGGACCGGGACAGGCCTTGGCCCCGAATGGGGAGAATTTGGGGCGGGTCACGGGCTCAGGCTCTCTTGGAATCGGTCCGGCTTGTCCTGGACCGGTCCGAGCCAGTTTTTTTTTTCGAATGGATTGGGTGGTAGGCAGGTTGGGGCTGGGGGTAGGAATAAATACAACAACATCCAAGCCTTAGTCCCAAAAGATATTGGGCTCGGCTAACATGAATCGATACATGATATCACAACCAAAAGAAGAAAAAAAAATAAAGTTAAAAAGGATAAGCTATTATAAAAAGACAATATAAAAGGAGATGAATATACATAAAAAATGATAAAATAAAAAAGCTACAAATAATGCTTATATATAAGGATAAAAAACAAGGAAAAAAGATGAGGGAAAAAGATGATACGAGATCACTCCTTCACGCTAATACCCGTCATCTATTTAGTTCTCTCCAAAGTCATGCCCTCATCTAACCCCAGAAGAAGCATATCACTTTGAACTCCACTAATCCACGTCTGTTTGAGTCTTCCTCTCACTCTCTTCCTTGCCCCTTCTCCACACATCTCAACTCGTTTGACAGGTGCATTACTCGATCTTCTACGCACATGACCAAACCACCGTAAACGTGACTCTCGCATCTTGTCTTCAATAGGTGTTACTCTCACCTTTTGTCTGATTGTTTCATTTCTCACGCGGTCCTTCCTAGTATATCCACACATCTAACGCAGCATGTCCATCTCTGACACACTCATCTTTTGAATGTGACATTATTTCACCGCCCAACACTCTACGCCATACAATAATACAGGTCTAATTGTTGTTCTATAAAATTTACCCTTCAATCTAGTCGGCATACCTCGATCGCATAGAAGTTCTGACGCATTCTTCCACTTCATCCACCTTGTTCTGATTCTATGGGATACATCTCCATCTAACTCACCGTCCTTCTGAATTATGGAGCCCAAACAACGGAACATATCGCTGACTGATATCTCCTTACCATCCAAAGTAATTCCGCTATTACCAATACTTCTACCTCCACTAAACTTGCACTCCATGACTTCGTAAGTTCATCCACGGTATATATTAAAAAAATATATAAGGCCCGACCCGGGCCCAACCCGGTCCGGTACTGGGCATCCAACTGCCAAACCTAGTACCGCTCAACGCCCGATCCGGACCCAAACTGGGTCCTCCCCTAGTATGTACTTAACACAGTATTTATTAATTCGAAATTTCAAAATATGACCATTTTATATGTTTTGCTTATAAAAATTAAACATATTAATTATTTAATTGTTAAAACCATAAAAAGTTGTATTGTTGCAAAAGTTGCAACTAATCAATAACGCTACATATAGTCAGATATATCACATATATATACTACGGGGGAGGTTCACATGAGAACCCTTGTTGCAATAAGCACCCACTTTTACATGAGCACTCTCAATTCCAGCCTTCCAAACCATCATATACCGTCCTATTTAATAAGGTGGCAATTTTGAAATTTAAGTTGGTGTTCCAGGCCATTTTTCTAGCCCCATAGTTTACTACACGCTCTCTTCCTCTACTGTTCTGCAAAATCCAACTCTTTCTTCTCTTCACAAATCGAATCCTTTTGATATCCACTCTTCTGTTGTTCGTTTCTTTATATTTTTTGCATAAAGATTTTATTTTTTTTATATATAAATAATTATATTTCATTCATTTATAATTACAAATAATAATAACAACAATAATAATAATTAGGGGTGTGCACTATCCGGTTTAAACCACAAAACCGAACCGGAAAAATTGGAACCGGATCAGACCGGAATGATATCCGGTCCGGTTTTGAACCGGTGCACACCCATAATAATAATAATAATAATAATAATAATAATAATAATAATAATAATTAGGGGTGTGCACTAGCCAGTTTAAACCTGAAAACCAGACCGAACCGGACTGGAAAACCGGAACCGGATCAAACTGGAATGATATCCGGTCCGGTTCTGTACGGTCCGGTCCGGTTTTGAACCGGTGCACACCCCTAATAATAATAATAATAATAATAATAATAATAATAATAATAATAATAATAATTAGGGATTTGCACTATCCGGTTTAAACCGGAGGACCGGACCGAACCGGACCAGAAAAACCGGAACCGGATTGATATCCGGTCCAGTTCCGGTCCGGTTCGATACGGTCCGGTTTTGAACCGGTGCACACCCCTAATAATAATAATAATAATAATAATAATAATAATAGAAATAATAATAATAATAATAATAATAATAATAATAATAATAATAATAATAATAATAATAATAATAATAATAATAATAATAATAATAATAAATATACCAAAATGTTAAGACAATGAAAATTTTAATTAAGAACCTAATACTGTAGTCTATATATTTGGTTCCTAAAAAATGGTGGGCTATGTTCCATAGAATCTAAGAGCATCTCCAGTGCAAATTAAGATGTGCACGGTTATAATGGCATAAGAAATACAGACATAAAATTTAATCAATGACATTTTCCTTTCTTTTCACAATTCCAGTCTTTCATTTTTTTAATTTCGTTTTATCATCAATGTCAAACACGAGTATATTTAAATTTGAATAATTTGTATGGATTCAAATTTCAGAGTATATTTAGGCCCAAATGGCCTAACCCAAACCCCATGCACGTCTACTACAATCAGCGAGTTTCAAGAGAGACTATTTCGGACCAAATGAGGATCCAGCTAAACCCAGCCCACCAACTAGTGACCATGCTACTTCTACCCTCATTTGCAGTAGCAGAACAATGATTACTGTGTAGGAGGGAAACCAGTTTACTTACCTGATAGGTAAACTATTCAATATGATGACCTGACAGCAAATGCTACCACTCCCACAATTAGTGACAGAATAAGAACAAAAAGCGGTATCATCATGTTGAGGGGTGCTAAGTTTTTAGACTTCGGGTCACTTCTCAAACCTTTTGTTTCTTCGTGCTTTGAGATGTTCGTGTACTTTGGATTCATCATGTCCCAAAATGGCTGCTGCTTGTTGGTGGTTGCAGATGATATGAAAGTAGGAGCTTCTGATTCAGGCTCTAAAACTTTTGATAAATCAACTGGAACTTCTATGGACATCAACTCAGCATAATGATCCTTAAGAACCTATGGTTCATTAAAAAATAGTTTAAGGGTTATGAAGATTATAACTTCATTGTTTTAATTTACTGCATTTAGTAATGCCCCAAATGCCGAACACAATATTCCCTTCATCTCATGAAAAGCGTTGTTTCAAAAGCTTTTTTGCTAACAGCAATCTTAAATCAAACTACTATAACAAAAAGATTAAAAACAAGGTCAATATGATGAGTTTAATTAAGTACTACTTCATGACATCTAAAAATAAGATGTTTTACCTTTGATTAACCATGATTCTTTATTACACGAATTACGCAGTTATAACATAAAAGATGTGTGTGACATACCTCAACTGTTTCAGATGGCTGCAAGTAGTCACAAACATATATATTGGCTAACCAAGGAAGAAACACTCTCCGAGGAAACATTAGCTTGCAACTTTTCCTGTAATACGTAGAAGTTGAAAAGAAAAAACCAGTCACTTAAAGCAACAGAAGTATTGCATTTAGGATAAAGCCTGGAGGTCAGACCGTTAAGAGCTCCAGTGGCATACCTTTGCAACTGTAATGGAAGAAGTAAGAATGGTTCTTCGGTTGATACATGATCCCCCGCTTCTTCTCCTACGCTGCCATCAATAGCTTCTGATTCCCTCTCTGCCGCATCACACATGATATCTAATCTACTTTGCAAACTCGATATTATATCTTCCTACGCAAGATATAACAAACAAACTCACTTCACCTCCCAGAATGCAAGATGATTGGACAAGTTTCAAAGATAGATTAGGAAAGTCATGAAATATTCTAAAGGTGCCATTCTAGAATCTTGAAATAGTAATATTAAGAAACTATTATATAATTGAAATGAAGAATGAAAAAACGAAAAATTGGTATTAAGTTCTTTTCTGATTTCGTAGAATAACACATCATGAAACATCAGTTCTCAACCAATGTGATTATTACTGTAAAACAGGGAATTAGTAAAGGGTGGTATATAATACCTTAATGTCAGTCAAAACTTGTGAAAGTTGTTCCTTTACATTCAAGTAAGCATAACAGCAAATAGCACCGGTAAACACAAGACCACCAATTATGTCCTTTTGGCTGCATCCTTCAGAGTAAAAAGAAAAAAGTAACAATTTAGCATTTAATTGTTCATCTTCTCGAGTATGTTTAAACCCCCAAACATCTATAGTCTGGAAGGATGACATAATCATTAAATGCAAGAATTTAGTTCGCACCGTCAAACTTATCTTGCATAAAAGGTAAGAGGAACTTAACATCATGTACACCATCTGATGCAGCGACTTGCTCATTCCCAATTGCCTAAGCACATTATGCAAGGAATATTGAGATATTCTAAGACAGAAGTCACAGAACTATCAACGAACAATAGTTGATTTACAGTTTAAATAGCAAAATTCCACCAGCCATATGTGTGTTACATTTTTTATTATATTGTACAAAAAATGATATACCACCAGTTATATAATATAGCAAAGAGAAATTATTTTAATAGATAATTCCACTTCATGCACCTAAAGTCCTACACTACACTATATGGGACACTTAATTTCTTAACTCTTAACCCCCATGAGTTTTTTGAAGGGTAGCTTCCAACAAACAGTTTACAGTTAACATTTTGATGAATGGATGAGAATCATAAGATAGCATTAAGCATGTAAACATGAACCAATATACTTAATTAAATGTATCGCTGTCATGTTTCTTACCAATTTTCCATTAATCAAAGCCTTTCCACATTTTAGCTCTTTGGCAAGAAGTGAAATACAATGGCGAAGAACGTCAACCAATCTTATATTGTTGGATCCATCCTCACTGAATATTGGCAATCTGGAAACACATAACAAATGTTAGGCTCACATTCTATTCAGAGAGGGAGAGTTACATGATTTCACAAATAGTAAGGAAACAAAACACATTTAAAAATATAAGACCAGAAAACAGCTTAGGCATACAGCTGCTCAAATTTAGGATGTGCCATTTTGTTCTACATGGGTATAGTTATAATCACAAATAAAAAATGGGAATCTTTTTAATTTTTTAATGATGAAAGGAAGGTTGAGTGGAATTTATGCAAATGCCAAGGGGGAGCAAAGCAAGTAAAAGAATCACCTAACATCAAAAGCATATCTGCATCTGAATGTCTGCAAGGACGCAAAAACTTTCCCCATTTTGAAATCACATGGTCTTAGACTGGTTGAACTTATATTAGAAGTAATTGAGCAATTCCGAGTCGTCCATCTGTAATGAAAGTGTCTCAGATGATGCCTATAAGGCTTTAAGTGATAAGAACTAAGAATTATCAAAAGGAAGTCTTTATTTGCAGAAAGCTACCTCATGGGACTGTAACAAATGTGAACAAGCAGCCTCTCATCAAAATTAGCATCTAAAAGAGGTGTAGCCTTTGCGACAGCTTGTATAGTCTGTAAAAACAGATTAGATTAGCAAAAAAGTTGACCTTCATAAAGGAACACTTTGAAAGATGAACACAAAATTGTAATAAACCATATTTCAACTTTCTTCTTGTTCCAAGACATAAAATATTAAAACTAGAAAAAGAATGCATTAAAAGATGAACAAGAAGCAAGAATATTACAAAGAACAAAGGTAGATTCTACTGTACAACTGTATACTATACTACACAATGGGGATATTCAGTATATTAAAACACAATTGAGAATTTTAGTGCTAAACACTCCTCCTAATGCTCTGGCTGGCCAACAGAAAATTATCTCGGAGTACAAAAACCTGACAAATTGTTAGCATTGAGTTCTTAATTGAGCTGTCGCTGGCCCATATGTAGATGCCAACTACTTTCACACCACCCAATAGCATTCTTCCAACCTGAAAATGGTAATATATATCATGACTTGCAACCAGCAATCAAATGTCCGCAAACTAAAGGCAGGCAACCATTTAAGAGATTATCCATGTTGATTGTGCAATATCAGTTTCACACCAGGCATCACTAGAAAAAATATGTCAACTCATCATCACTCTGATGATATTTAACATGCAAGTGGAAAACCCTGTGATGTACCGATTTCGATATTCATCTCACTATTGCTTCTTTGTGAAGTTGCAATAAAACGTGTTATTAATAGCTGATGGCCAAGTTCTGCCATATGGTGACGCCATTAACCCCCGCAGACCACCGCTCTTCAGAAATTTCATATGGCAGTCTTTTATATTTTTGCCACCGCCATCCACCATGGTGCCATTTGAAAACACTAGACAGGAAGACAGACATCAACGTAAAATGTTGACTATGCATTTTTCATAACATTTTAATATTTACTGATTTTAGACAATTGATTAATACCATAAATTTCATGACACCGATCTTCATGTACAGGATCATGATGCATGCAAAAGAACACCTGCCAATATCATGAGCTACAAAGTTCCTCGTCATTTAAACTGCCCACATGAATTCTATATATACTACGTATAATTCATAATTCTTGAACACAATTAAGATTAAAAAACAATGTAAAGATGGCATTACACTTTACACAAACACACACACATTCACATGTTTGTACAAAGACGCTCCTTCAATGCAATCAAAGAGGCTGTCAACTCGGGGGGGGGGGGGGGGGGGGGGGGGGGCAAATGTCCAAAAGGCCATGATTGTTGATGTGTGCATATATAATGTGTTAATATGTCGTATGATACCATGATGCATTACATAAATAGGAAGAGAGTAACCGAGTATGGTAATAAAAAATATACAACTCTACAAAACTCTCAAAGTGTTGTTGACAACACCATTAAAATGGCACAGATGAATTCTTAGAAGTTGGAAGTTATCAAGAATTTTATCCTATCAACCATGTCAATAAAGTTGAACCACTTGAATGTGTTCATGGATGACTTGCTTAATACTTTTATGGCAAAAAATGTCGTTGATGAAACTGGCCATGCTATCTTATAATGATAAGAATTTTCCAAATTATACTTTTTTAGATAAAAAATGGCACTGAACAAATATAAAGTGGGATCTTAAAATGGATAAAGATTTATATATACTTAGTGGTGGAACCAGAAAAATGACTCAGGGTTCGAAACTTAACTATATAGAGAATAAAAGGAGTGGATCATTTTTAAACAATACTTGAGTTGAATGTTTCATATCTCGCTTAGATAAATGAGAGTTTAAATGAGATTAATATAGTTTTAGATTTGAGATACATGCCATATATACTACTCTGTATAAACATTACTCCGTACATAAGTATGGAGTGAATTAGACGCATTTTCAAAATTTGGGAATGTAATCAATATTGCGTATCAAAGTTTACTCATTTCAAGTTTAAATTGTTCTGATTTTCCCGGAATCATAATTTTTCTCTTAATGAGTTACGGGAGCCATACTATATCAAATACGGAGTAGAATGTATTTTAATGCTCTATATTCTCAAACTAGCCGACCCCCTTGACCCCTTGGCTCTGCCCATGTATTTTAATGTAATCATATGATATACTTACATTTATGATTTAATAAACCAAAGAATGACTTGTGTGAAACAAATAAATAAATTGCATAGGGATTGAAGAAAAATGAAATATTATATTATTATTGAAATTCAGATGTTCGAATAAATTGAACCTGCCGAGCGTGTTCAGCAACCCAATCCTTGTCAACGAATAAAGAGGAAGAGTCTGCCTGCGTCTTCTCTTTCGATCCTTTCTTCCGGTCATCTTTCGCGCCACTTATAATTGAGCAAGCCGGCTCTCCAGAGTCGCACAGCGGCGTCGGGAGCAATTCGAATATGAAACCGCGATCTAAGCTTGAGCTCAGCTTCCCTATCACAAGCCCTATCTGAGCAGCGAACCCGGATTTGGTAAGCCGCTCTTCAGCTAATTTCAGCTGCACCTCCTCTCCCACTACTGCTTTCACCATCGTCCTGCTATCCCAAAAAACTGACTAGTTTCGGTCAATAGCAGTAAAAGTAGCCTCGTTTGGACAAAAGGCTATTTTGAGCTGCAGCTGGAAAACACGGACTGAAACAAAACGCTACCAAGGCTAGCGTTGGAGTTCAGTCGATCATAAAATACAATTCAGTTTCCTGAACTACCCTTCGTCCGTATACGTATCTTCTCTTTCTTTGCTGCTGTAATCACAAATGCTTGGTCGTTGATCAAGAATAAACACCGACCATCACGATCGTTCCGGCGGTCTAATTACAGGGCATCGAGCAGATAAGTTTCTTACCAAGCTGATTTGTGAAAAAGTAATGGGAGGAGGATAGAGAGCAGAAGAGAAACGGAAAAGGGTAGAAAGTAGGGTTGTAAAGGAAGGTCATCGAAATGAATACTATGATATTATTCGTATTCCTGTAATTATAGAATATTCGTATTCACATTCGTTTAAAATTCCAATCTTATTTTGTATTCGTATTCGATTCGTTTGATATATTCGAATCTTCAAGAAACATTAAAGTTAATTTGTGAAAATAATTAAAATTATAATGTTAGTTTGCCTCTTTTAACTAATTTTCATATTACATATTTTATAGGAAATAAACTTCATTTATAGAAGTCACTTCAAATTTAATATCAATATAGATAAATCAGAATTTTAATTGTAAATAAAGCTATTTTGACATGGTAAAGTAAAAAATTTTAAATTAAAATATGCAAAATATTTACATGAATATTTTGTAATTTATATTTTTACATTAAACTATATGTATTCATAAGATATATTGTATGAATATAAATATATATATATATATAATTAGAAAATTATATCATAGTATTTGTATTCTTATTCGTAAAGTATTCGAATCAAAAAATAGATTTGTATTCGTATTCGTATTCTACTTACTCGAATTCGAATCGGCATTTTCGAATTCGAATCACGAATCGAATCTAAATTATTCGATTCGTTTACAACCCTAGTAGAAAGGAAAAAGAGCGGTACTTCCGTAGGAACATAGATATCCTCATCTTCCAAAAAAAATTGGTAGAAGGAATTTCTACCCTTTCAACTAAACACTCTATATCTGTTTGTACTTCACGAATGAACAGAAGCAGTTTTAAGAAGCAGATCCAAACATTCATATGTCCCATAGTCATCCATCTCCCCTAGTCACCAATAATAAAGTAAAAATGTATTTGATTAAAAGAGAAAGTTACAAAGTTCCATCAAAAAATCATACTCCTTCCGTTCTTTAAAACTTTACCAATTTTAAAAATGCATTCACCATTTTATTTGTCAAAATCATGACCTCCCAACAACCCCCATGGATCTTTGGACTCTCATTCATTAACAATCTCGACAAGCCAATTGACTGCTCTTGAAAAAAACCTTACCTTGATATATTCAGCCATTTTTTATCCTACGTTGATAAAGCTAGAAGGAAAATGAAGACCTATTATTAAAAACATTTTTGATCATCAAATCCAGCAAATACATTAAATCGAAATAACGTTCGTCACATGGCTGATAATACAATCACAGGAAAAAGAGTAAACAAAACGATAAAAAGACTTATATCTGTCGTCCGCCCTCGAACCAGATTGAGAATCTATCACCTCTATAGAACCAATAACATTCGTTGATCCTATAATGGGCATAACTGAGCCAATGACTGGTAAACCAGACTTCTTATCACCTAACCTAAATTTAAGAATTTCTATACTAGGAAAACAGAACACGACCAAAACAACATGCAATTCGACCGAAAAAACAAAAACTGAATAAAACGCAATTAAAATAGAGTTCGCCCATCTTCTTCCAAACCCAAGATTTGCTTGCACTCCATGGCGGCGGCTCAGGAGGGGGACGTGCCCGCCGCTCATCCGCCACACCCTCAACATCAGCTTCATCTAGATCCAGTTCTTCTTCCACTACTACAATCATCATCTTCTTGTACAGTCCTCTACAATTCCACGATAAGATGCTCATTGACTCTTCCCTACCAAATCCTCCATGTGATCTCCTCTTGCAGTCAATAACAATGACCTTCTCGGCACCGTACTCGCCTGAGCGAAGCACCGCCGGACAACCAAGCTAGGCGTTGCCTAAGACGGCAACCCTCAACTTACTCCTAGTTAGAACTTTTAAAGCAATTTTATTGTTCCGATTATTACAAACATTGAAAATTAATAATGTAATAGTAGTAATAACTTAATAACATTCAAAGGTCTCTAAAAAGTTTGGGAAGGATCTTCTCTGGTCAAATATCACCATAGCAACTTTCTTACTAATTGGAACAAATCCTCCAAAGAGCACCCAAAATTAGAGAAATTTATCACGCGTATCACTAAAACATCACATAGTTCCCATGTTATGATTACTTGAGTATTCTTCCTAATACATGACTGCACATGCTCATCTTCCATGCACGTGTGGTTTAATTTTTTTTAATACCAATTGTATCCTTTCCTTTAATTAATGCTTTGATTTTTCATCCTAAAATAATTAATCAACAAGCATATCACGTATTGGAATGGGAGCATAACTTGCGGCGGTATGATAACTACCTTTGCGCATAACCGCTGGATTAGAAATGGAAATATCCGATACATAATGAAATTATTTATTGAACGTAAATGTAGGTTCATCTTCTACCAACTGAGTGGTTATCACATGACTTTTTTATTCATATCCAAATCTCCTGATTTCTTCTTCTATGAACTGTTCGTTCATCTGCTAAGGCTCATATGTATCATTTCACCGCCAATCTTGGAGTGAAGCAGTATCCATGCATTCCGTTCCAGTAGGTTACCTGGAAATGTGGATTATGATAAAATATGATGGTCAATGAGTTTCAAATACTTTTTCTCTAGTATTCATGTTGCCGGCTTAACTATACCATCAAATTGTACGTATGATTCTCTATATTCTCGTGTTTGCGCTGCTATGGGTGAGAATTATGCCGGGAAGAATATAAAGATCTCATACGTTTATGTTGCGTGCCCACCTGCCTGCCGGTGCTGCCATTCAGCCGGAAGGCCGCCCACCTACCCGCCGCCGAAGTCTAGCCGCACGCTTGCCTGCCGCCGGCCAGCCGCATGTTTGCCCGCTGCCCGCTTCCATCCTCCCGATGCCCACCTCCAGCGCCCAACCGCCCAACCGCCCAACACACATTCTCCTTCTTCTTCTTTTTCTATCTATTTCTTGAAATTAGGGTTTACAGCATTGAACAAGGGCAGTGAAAATGAGTAGTGAACATGACAAAAGATAGTGTTGAACATGGATAGTAAATATGACAATAGATAGTGTTGTACATGGGCAATGAATGAATGAATTGAGGAAGAGTGTTGTACACTGAATTGAAGGCAATAATAGTGTCACAACATTGGCGAGAAGTGCAGTAATTATGACCAATAGTGCAATAACGTAGAGCAATAATGTCAACATGAAATGCAAAGTTATCAGATATAAAAAGAAATAAAAGAAGAATTATAAATAAATTCTTAACGTGGACATTAAGAGAATTAATGTTGGCGGGAAGTGTAGTGATTATGAACGGAAGTGCAGTAATATCGCGCAATAACACCTGTATAAAGTGCAATATAGTAAAGACATTATTAAATAATCACTTCCCTCAATGCATGATATGGAGAACAAAAAAATTTGGTTGGAGAAGATGAAAATGGTGAAAATCAGGTTAGAGACCTGACTTATCAAATGAAACATGTTTGTAGTAAAAATAGTATTCCATATATAGTTACGTATTTTAGTGGAACATGCTTTTAATCAATTTTTCATATTTCATAGTTTTTTGGTAATTTAGGTCTAATTTGTTTGAAATCCTTCCTTAATTGAATTTCTTAGAAAACGTGTTCTGACTTTCTATCCAACTGCTTAAATTAAGGAAACTTCAAATGGATAGTTTTCTAGGCCAAAGCGGACTGTTAAAGTGCTAATGCCGTTATATTTTAAGGCCATATTGGTCTTTTAATGGTCAAATATTTTACATGGTCGTTCTTTAAATGACATGCTTAGTCATACATGGGGAAATAAACATTAGAGGTCATATTTTGGGAAATCTCTTGACATATTGTCATACATACGTATTTTTCCCCCAAAATTAACCAGAATTTGATTCAAGCTGTAAATTTCCATCATCTAGCGAGTGCGAGTACATGTTTCAAATAACATTTGGTGATTTACGGAGGCTAAAATAAACTGTAATTCTCAAGTTGAAAGTTTTAGGTAAGTTAAGTACTCTAAAAATAAAACCCAATTGAAGATATAGGATATAAAATTCTAAATATACCAAAACATGTCATAATTCACAATCCAAAATGACAATTCAATGTTATATATAGACAATTAATAATGGCATAATGCCCATAACGGTCAAGAAATAAAATCTCGCATGTCTACATATATAGTTGAGTAAATTCTCTAAATAGGAGTAAAAAAGTTTTGAAATTCCAAAATAGGAGTATCATGTTTTTTATTCTCTAAATAGGGGTAAATTTCTGTCAAGTATGGCATTACTAGACTTTTAAACATGACATTTTTTTTCAAACTTAGCAGATTACTCCTATTCAAGAAATAAAAAACATGATACTCCTATTTTGGAATTTCAAAACGTTTTTACTCCTATTTAGGGCAATTTCTATATATAGTTTTACGAAGTAAAGGATTCATTTTCTTCCACAAAATTTTTCTATTCTAACTTTATCAACCAATATTTATCCAAGAACTAATAGCTCATTTAAAATACATAGGTATTTAGAAGTTGCATCAAGAAATTTACTTCGAATGATTCTTCAGTTTAAAACTAAAGATATTGCGTAGGGATAGTTGGATAAAGTTTAATAGTTTATTGAATCAACTTAGTGATAAAAGACGAATATCGAGAAGGGCAATCGTATATTAACAATAATCCACAAAATGATAGAAAATACATATAATTTAAAGTTATGTGAATGAATGAAAAGAACATTAAGAACTTTAAGAATGTAAATTGAATGTAAAGAAGGTTAATTATAGATATTAAAAGCTATGCATTACGCCAACACTTTTTTAATATCTAAAAGGCCCTAACCCTCATTCACCATTATAATATTTTACTAGGTATAAGATAACTCCCCATATGAGTAGGCTTTAAACATACTCCCTCTGGTCCTAAATAAAGTTCAGTGTTTGACTTCACACAAATTAAGGAAATAAATTTGATACACTGTTATGACACTGTTTGGTACTGCTTGACATTGTTTGGCACTGTTTGACACTGTTTTGAACTGTTTTGATGTACATAATTTGCCAAATAAGGAAGAGAAAAGAAGTGTGAACTTTATTTTAGACCGACCCAAAAAAGAAAGTGTGAACTTTATTTAG